ACCAAGATAATAACCAACATTAAGATAAGATAAAAAAAAATAGAAGGCAAAATAACACAACTTATGGTTTTTGCCAGGTAAACAAAATTGATAAACAGATCTTAAAAACCAAACTGGTACAGAAGTGATAAGGGACCAATGAGATCTAAAGATATAAGTTGAAACGGAAAATCAATCCGTCGATAACTACCCATTAAACCTGGTTGGGGAAGATTTGTCGGTTTGCATGTAGCACAGATTTTGCATTTAGCGATATAGCTACATACAGTTTGACGCACCTTCAGCCAGTAATAAAGTTCAGATATTCGACGGAAAGTTTTGTAGAGACCAAAATGAGCTGCAGTAGGATGGTCATGAAAAGTGGCCAAAACCTCTGCTCTATTAGGAGTTGGAACGACTATCTTCCAATCCGACATTCCAGTAAGGGAATCTATGGAACTTAAGACATGTTTATACAAAACACCATGGTCAACTTTAAAATCGGGAAATTAACCTGGTACATTCTGTACATCATAAAACATTTTTTAACAATGGACTGGTTAGATGACGGACTCTCAACTCATACTCTAATTCAGGAGCTAACAGATGCTCTACCTTAAAAGCAGACATATTACACAACTGAGCGATATACAAGAGAATGAGTAAAAGTAGGTAAAGTTTAACTTACTCTCTGACTCCAAATTATTATTCTGAAGGGATACCTATACCAGTAATGTTTAATTGTTTTGGTCCAGTTATGAAATCCAATGAAATATACTGCTACAACACCCTAAGGAACCTAAAATTTCAAAACTGTTATTTCGAGGTAGTGACTCAACTTATTGGCTACTCCGGACTTGTAAAATATGTGAAATAGTTAACTTTAGTTATTTAAATTTTTAATTAATTTATTATTAATCTAAATTGTTATTTAATCAATCAAAAACAAACCAATTTATTCAGTCTACACAGTATATAGCAAAACAAGTCGATTTAAGATATAGATATAAGGTAATGTCCAAAAAAAAAAATTGAAAAACAAAACTAAAGGTTAAATGAAAATCTAAAGCACAACCAGTGAAAACCACAACAACCCAAGATCAAAATCAAAAGTTAAAGGAGATATAATATATATATATATATTTTTTTTTTAAGGCAGAAGTGGAAAAGAAGCCACACGTTGGGTCTAGCCAATTGAAACGCTCAATACTCCGGGAGTAATTGGGTTTTTGGAAGTGTAGAACTTCCAAATTTCAGAAGAACTGAAAGAGAAGTGATGAAAAAAAAATACTAAAAATAGGGCTAAGCTCAGAGGAACAAATTTAAATGGCCAAAGAGACACTAAATCTCAAGTGAGTGTTCGGGCTAGCTTCAATGCACTGGATTGTGGCTTTAAAGATATAAACAACAATAACAAGAGATAATGAGCTAATGAGACAAGAAAGAAATGAGACCTGGTAATATCAAACGTGATACAACTGAAGAAGGTCACTGGGAATAAATTTATAGAAAGAGAACAATAGGAAGAGAAAAGAAGGGCGCCAACTCAACGATAGTTGAGATTTTGAAGTAACAAATGAATCTGGAGATAATACTCTGAAATACAAAAATACTAAATAATAATCTTGTTTTGCTATGTTATATATTGTTAGTAGAACTGAAATAAAACTCAAAATAGCAACAATAAATATATTTATAAAAAATGTATATAGGTATATGTGTATAAACAATTTACATATAATGCAAAGCCAAATAACAGTGGTAGTGGATGGTGTACAGATACCATGGGACCTAATAGCCCCTCAACAAACGAATAGCCACTACCACTGGCCAAATAAAATATGAAATATTAGTAAACAACAAGAATAGTCCGTATTATAGCCAAAGCCTTAACACAAAAAGGTAGTAATTTAACTTTAAATAGTTCTACTAATGTGAGATACAAATATTGTAAATATATCAAACTTGATAAATCTGTTACAATTATTATATTATATCCAAAAAGTGAGTCTTCAATACTCTTTATATAATGTTTAAAAAAAAACCACATGAAATTTATTTCCCTTCCCAATATCAAAATTATTTTATATCAAATGTATTGTATTAAAAAAAAAATATATCAAAAGTGAGTTTGGTCAGTACTCTTAAAATCCTATTTAAAAAAAACTAATAAAAACAGGTAATATATTTTCCCTCTCCCAATAATATCAAAATTATATTTTATCAAAATGTAGTTACTTGATCATATGCATATGAAAAGTTAACAGTAAATAGAAAGTAATACGTAATACAAAAAGTCAAATAGTTAAACAACTTATCTTTACAGCACTATAAGTCCATAGGAAAAACTCCTCTTGGCACGGCTACATCAGTTTATGGCTGTAAAGACGAATCCTGGTCACAAAAGCCACAACCAGTCACTGGTCTCTGGGTGACAGCAAAATCCACGGGTTTGCTAACTATTCAAGAAATTTAGTTACTTGAGACCTTGAGGGAATATTCTGAAGAGAATATCCTCAAGTGAAGTGACGGAATCTAAAATTATTATTTAATTTAATAAATACAATTCAATAGGTGTAGCAGCATGGATTGACTGCACCAAAACAAAACATCAAAACATTAGGTTATGTCAACATGTCAGAATTTATGAAGTTACTTTCGTAGACATGGCAAGCTTGCGCCATGAAATAAACATGCGCAGAATACAGAAGGCTGTCCCACATTTGTAGAACCTTTTTATATTCCACCAAAAAAAAGTTAGATAAAAGGGAACCAAAAAAAACTTGATGATAAGATATGAAATAGATCGGTATTTAAGTTTGACTATATAAAAAAAAATGACCTTCTGTTCTTTGCAAGTAAATCAAGGAAATTTTATATTTAAATTATTTCGGAACTCAAAAATAAATCTCTAAAGAAATACTAAATACAATGATAAATTTGATTATATGATAAAGAGATAATACGTATGAAATGATTTACTTACATGGAACCGCAGCACGCCAAAAAAAATCTTCCTTTTATGTGGAACTCTTATAAATATACTTGATATTATTAGAAAAATTACTTATTTATATTATTATTTATTAACTATATTCTTCCCAAATTATCTTCTATGTTCCAATTCCGTCACTTTGAAGGTGAAAAAATTTCACCGGTTGACGTGGCTGCGTTGAGTTCTGACCAAAACTGATCGTTCCGCTTCCGAATAAAATCGATCTTCCTTTCAAAGCGATAACAGCGCGTGTCGGGAAAAATGTCGATTTAAAATCGATCGTAGGCGAGTAATAAAAATTTCTTAAGGGGTTAATCAGTAGCGTAAACGCTACACCACAAAAGAGAAAATGCATGGTTAGAACAGCAAATTAGCTAAGATGCAAATTGGAGCTGCAAGGTCAGATAATAGAACATCTAGGAATATCTAGGCATTACATTATCTAGCTACGGAAAGCTCGAAACTGAAGTGGAAGATCAAGTGAATAAATCAAACAGAGCCGCAGGCTGCCTGAATAAAACAATATGAAGAAATAAAAATATCGGAAAAGAAACGAAAGGCAGAATTTACAAAACAGTCATCAGACCAATAATGACATAGGCGGCTGAAACAAGACCTGACATAGAGAAGACAAAAAGCATGTTATAAACAGCAGAGATGAAAACACTTAATGAAAAATTAATGGTAAGACACCATGGGACAGAGCTAGAATTACAGATATACCACATAGATGCAAGGTGGAGAACATCAAGAACTGGGTAAGAAATTGAAAAGTAGAATGGAACGATCATATAAGCTTCGTCTTCTTCTTCTTCTTCTTCCTTCTAGTATGTAGGCTTTAAAGCCTGTTTCTTCTTCAATATTAGCCTCCTAAATGTTTCAAATAATCAGAAAAATGTAATCATTATATTGGAAATTTTAGAATTATATTGATTAAATAACCAAAAACATTTGTTATTATTACTAATATAAATTCTACGAAATAACTCTTTAAGTCTAATATTCCACAAAATAATAATTTTAATTAAATATATTAGACAATTGTACGCAACTGATAAGGAAATACTTCAAATTATGTTGACAGTTCAGCGGGTGGCAAAAGTGTATTAAGTGTTGCCGCGTTTTTAGAGTAGAAATTTTGTTTATGTTTTGAGTGGTTTTTATTTCTTACACAATTTAATCATAATATAATATATATTAATAAATTGTATTTTTAAATACATATTAAATTTAGATTAATAGCTTTAAAAACTAATTATTGTTGTATATTGTGATTGTGATATGCGAAAACAAATAAATAGTCTGTAGAAAGCTGGTTAGCTTTCATATAAGATAGATTATTAAGAAATAATGGCGGGACGTTTTTACTATTAAAGCCCTAAAAGAGGTAAGTTTAAAATTTAGAATATATAATTTTGTAATAAAATGTTTTCTTATGTATTTTAATGTGTTGCAGTAATCTTAAAACTAAGTATATTTACTGTTAATATAATAGTTTGACAAATAGTTGACATTTTAAAAAATCCTCACTTACTAGACGAGCGAAGACGATCAAAGGAAAGACCACGAAAACGATAGAACGACAACTTACCGGAGGCACATTGAAAAACAGAGAGTCATGTCTATATAAAAAGAAGAAGAAGATACATTTCGGACAACATCCAGGGCAACTTAACGGAGGCACATTGAACAGCAGACAGAGTCGTGTCTATATCAAAAGAAGTTTATTAGAAAAGAAAATTAAACTAAAAACATTAAAGCAATAAAATAAAGGTTTACATTTTTCTTTTTGAAATTTTATTTTTTATAGTCGTTAATAGAATATTTACAAATATAAAGTTTTTAATTAAAACTATTGAATTTTAAAAGAAATTTTTATTTAAATGAAAAGGTATGCAATCGTTGGATTATTCCAACTTTTAATAATGAGTGCTAGGAATTTTTATTATTAGATTTTTAAACCAAATAACAAACACTTTATGAAAAAATCGAAATCATTTTGATTTAATAAAAATGTATATTTCAGCATCCCTAAAATATCACTAGAGAACAGCAAAGGTTTGTCCAATACCGTATTGATTGAATTACAAGGATGTCTTGAACAAAAAGCGTTAGACTTAGTAGGCGAAGAAATGATATTTCAACTTTGTCAGCTTGTTGAAGAGTTTCTTCATAAACATAATAAACCTGCATCAAAAAGTTTTTATGAAGAAATGCTTGACCGCAGAAAAGAGCAAGAGATAAAAGAATCACAAGCAAGACAGATGGAACTAGAAAAAAAGGTATTTTTTTTATATAATTTATTAATAAATTAATAGCAAACGTTATTTTTAATTGATTTTTTTGACGTTTTGATTTCCACTCCGGAAATCGATTTGTAAAATGATTATTTAGTCCAGTCGCCAGGAAGTTAACCCCTAAAAATCGTACGAACAAGCTGAATTTTTCAGAGAATATTAATTTTGGAACCCCAAAAAATATGCAAAAAAATTTATCACTTTTACCCCAGGGCTATCCCTAAAACCCCCCTCGCAGGGGAGTAAAAACGTAAAAAATCGATTTACTGATAATCTGTACACACCGTAGAAAAAAATGTTTCAAATAAAAAATGTAGCTGAGATAATTTTAAGCCTGTTTTAGCAGTCAAAGCACACTGCGATTTGAAATGGGCGTATCACTTACTTTTCTACACTGCTTACGCCAGCCGACTGCTTACAGCTGTTTACTCAGTGGCGCCGGCCGACAGGTAGTTTAATGACAACAAATGCATTATTCTCCATTCAAATTAGTTTTGTCGGGAATACCTTGTTTGATTGATTACCACAGAAGAAGAATTACCACATTTTTAATTCATATGTCTTAGCTAAATATAGTATTGAATAAAAATGTGTGAAACGTGACTGCAAAAAATATCATGGGGTTTATTTATAATAAATTTAAAATAACATAAAAATATTATTATCAAAAAAAAATACAATTTGTTGTCACAAACAAATAAACAATGTCGCAGTTATAGCTTGAAAATGATTTCAAATCAAACTAACTGACCGTACGTTCATGAGATTTGACGTCACGAAGGCGATAACGATGAAACTAAGTGCCAATGATGAGTAACACGTTTCACTATTAGATTTCAGTATTTTTTAGCAATTTTCTTCAAAGTTTGAACACGCTTTTCTCGATTATTACTGGACACAGAAAGGTGAAAAAAAAATCAACGATTACAAAAAAAAACTCTTTTAAGTGATGGGCGTAAAAAGTTTGGTTAATAGAACGTTTAAACTGCATAATCCGATATTTCAAAAGAACTTTAAAAAAATTAAAAAAGTAAAACTATCAGTTTAAAGCAACATAATTTTGAATAACGTGTCCAAATTTCGAGACATTTTGTCGGTAACTAACAGAGAAAACACTCTAGGTTTTCGTGTACCGATAAAAGTCTTAAAAAATTTTTATAAGCATTTTTTATGTAAAATGAAACGTTCTCTTAGAAACAACGCTTGAAGCAACCGTCGATTTTGCATGTCAGTTACGCGCACGAAATCAGTGTTCAATAAAATTTGTATCAGTACGACGGTAAAAATTCGATAATTTTTTCTTCAAGTGACCTATCGACAAAAATCAAGATGCGTTTTTAAAGGTAAAGAGTTCAGCTTTCGTATGAAGTTTGTGTATTATGCCGAAAATAAACTCAGATTTTATACAGGTGTTAAATAAATAAAGGTGTCGCAAATCTTGCAATTTTTTATGTTTTTTGTGAGATCAATAAAATTGATAGCTTTCATTGAACTGTTGTGTAAAATTTCCATTTGTAGAGATCAATCTTTAAAACCTGTGAGATGAAATTTCAATTTTGAGTTGTGGTAACGAATATGAGGCATTTAAAATATGAATAAAAAACGCAGAATTTAATGTCTTACATTAGAAACGAGCACACGTCACGGGAAATGCATTTAAGAAGACGGTTTTGGGTGTAGTTTATTGTAGAAGTTTGTTCTTTTAAAAAACGTACTAGTGTAATTGAAGAAAAAGTTTTAGATCGTTTGTTGTATGAAAGTTTAAATCCAGCGTTTTTAAGCATATTTCAAATGCCTCACATTTGTTGCCAAAAGTTAAAACTAAAATTTCATGATAGAGATTTTTAAGGTTATGCTCTAGTAATCAAAACTTCATAGTTGCTAGTCATTAAAAGGAATAGAATGTATTATATAATAATATAGATAATAGATAGACTACCTCTATCTCTTTCCTTGTTATCCGGTTACACGTCTCTCATTTCACAACTTTGCGACTAAGACGAGAACGTGAAATATCACATTTTGGAGATCAAGAACTACAAACATAGAATACCGAAATTACCGTCACAGTATATTTTGTTGTTATTCACAGGTCGTGCTTGTTATTTTCTAATCACAACTGTCAAATTACAGGGTAATGCTATTTAGCCCACCTCTAGTATTCAATCCATAGTCTTTCTATGTTTATGGGAGGTATAACACATTTTCTATCTGATATGTCTTTGTTTCGTAATTCATATTTTACCTGCTTCTGTAGATACCATTTTCGTATATACCAATAAATATTTCTCTCATCATTATCTTCTTTGGAGATGGTCAATGTTTTGGATCCATAGTTCATCATCATCATCATCCAGCCTCTATTTATCACGTCCACTGCTGGACATAGGCCTCCCTTAAACTCCTCCATTCCTCACGACTTTGTGCTCTTTGTTGCCAATTTTTAGTGATACGCCTGATGTCGTCGGCCCAACGTGTAGGTGGTCTTCCTCTACTGCGTTTGTCTGCTCTTGGCCTCCAATTTGTAATTTTGCTCGTCCATCGTGAATCGTGCATTCTCGCTACATGGCCTGCCCAGTTCCATTTTAGTTCCGCTATGCGTTCCACAACATCAGTAATACTCCGTCCTTCTTCGCAGATCCATAGTTAGCATTGGTAAAATAAGGATTTTGAACATTGGTATTTTTTATTCTATCTTTGATTTGGGTTACTTGCTAGAATTATCCTTAATTTTATTTCTTGTATAAGTGTGCCCATTTGTCATAAGGGGGCCTAAATTTTGCCTACTACCTCAAAGAAACAATTATCTTTAACAGTGCAATTGTAACAAATATTTCTGACTCTGGTATTGTGTTGATACCATCACTTTTGTTTTATCTTTCCCGATGCCCGAACCAACTCAACGTTATGGCATCAATTAGTGTCACCCCTAATATACTCCTTAATTTTACCATTTTTTTATCACTTCACTCATCCATCTAGGTATTATCATTTCTTCCAAAACTGTTCGTTGTTCCTCTTTCTTTGTAACTGCCCAAAGTTTAGTTTCGTACATCATAACAGGTCTTATGGCAGTTTTATGGAAATTTTAAACTCAACTCCACTACATATATCTCTATCTATAGCATTTTTCATATAAAAAAGCTTGCACGTCATTCAAGATTTACGTCGTCAGAACCCCACAGTGTTGCCAAAACATTAGAATAGTTAGGAAGTGAGGAATTTTTAAAATGTCAACTATTTGTCAAACTATTATATTAACAGTAAATACACTTAGGTTTAAGGCTACTGCACCACACTAAAATACATAAGAAAACATTTTAATACAAAATTATATATTCTAAATTTTAAACTTACCTCTTTAAGGGCTTTAATAGTAAAAACGTCTCGCCATTATTTTTTCTTCAAAATAATCTATAATAATCTAAATAATTCAAAATAATCTATAATATGAAAGCTTATCAGCTTTCTACAGACTATTTATTTGTTTTGGTATATCACAATCACAATACACAACAAGAATTAGTTTTTAAAGCTATTAATCTAAATTTAATATGTATTTATAAATATAATTAATTAATATATATTATATTATGATCAAATTGTCTAAGAAATCAAAACATAAACAAAATTCCTACTCTAAAAAAGCGGCAACATTTTATACACTTTTGCCACACGCTTAACTGTCACTTTGTATAAATCGTGACGTGCTAGTGTTTAACTTTGAAAAATGGTATTCTTTCTCATTACTGTGTAATACCGATCAAAGGTACTTAAAACTATTACTCTTACGATTGTTTCACTATCCAGTTATAAATTAATGGGGATTGTTACCCTGTAGTTTCCCTGTTATCTGATCTAATATTAATGAGAATAAATAATCAGTAAGCACTGATTATTTAGCACTAAGTCTCTTCCACACCTGTCCTAACACTAGTTGTTACTCCCTCATACATTTCTCTCACAATCTTTACAGATTCACAATTTTTACATACACTCAGGGAAGTCCTGTCATTTTAAGCGCTTACCACAGAAAATGTGAAATAACTATATCAAGATATATGCTTTCTCAAGATCAATGAATACCATAATAAGCGTTTGTTTCTGTAGTTCTGTATTTTTCTATTAGCTGCTCTATAATCAAAATTGATCTGCTTGTATAAAACCAAATTTCACATATTTCGCATATTTAGGTTTCTTGGTGTGACTAAATAGTTGTATGGTCCTATAACTGCAACCTGCAACTTGTTCCTGTTTCTCCTAAAGCTATTCACCATTGCAGTTACACTCTCCATTAACTCAATTGGTTTTCTGTAAAATTCCTCATATAATAATCTGTCAAAATACTTTTTCAACCGCTTTTTGATATACTTTTCGTGAAATGGTATTTAAATATTTTCCTTTCGGATATATCTAATCTGATATTTAAGATGATGAAATCTTTTGCTTTCTTTGCTCTATATTTGGATCATCACCCAGCCTTCTGAGTCCAAAGTTGAACATATGCCTCTCCTAATTTCTTCCAGTTCTGTCGGTCTTGGGTGCACCACCCATCGTTCATTGTGGCCATGAATGAACTTCAGCCATGCTATGCACTCTGCGACATCTTTAAACCTGTCCTTTTTTCTATGTTTCTAATCCTGTCTCTGAGAGTCAGTCCAAACAGCGAGCGTTCCATTCTTCTTTTGAGCTACTCTGAATTCGGTTGCTGTAGCCTTTTGTGTAGAAGCTGTTCATTTTGAATATATTTTTTCCAGCAGAAAATTAAGTAAAGTTTCGCCGTAATCGTTCCTGTTTCCCAAACCAAATTATCCCGGTGATGTTTTTTGTCTCATCTGCCTTTCTCCCCGTTTTAGCGTTGAAGTCACCACATATTATTCTATATAATATACATATATATATATATATATATATATATATATATATATATATATATATATATATATATATATAATTTGTATTGTTTTTAAGAATTTGATGTATTTTAGACATTATTTTTATTACGTAAGTGATTGTAACTATTAAAAGTAATATAAAAATAAGATTTTTCGTTTTATTCAAATTTTAAAATGTTACAATGTTGACTCATTGTTTGAGTAGCATTTATTACCAATTTATTTATCGTGGTATCGTTTTAAAAAGGTCAAGCTTAAGTTATGTAAATATATATTAAGGCAATTATTTTGTGCTATTTATTAAACGTACTCATTTTACTAAATTAACAATTTGTTATTGTTTACTAAATTTTAATTGTCTTTATTAGAGGCAGTATATGATGGAAGAAGTACAAAAACGAGAAGAAATATTAATATTGGAAGCAAAAAAATGGAGGGAAACTCGACATAACTCCGAAAACGGTACAGACGGAGAAGATAGAAGAACATCACTCGGTTTCAGGTAATAATGATATACAGAGTGAATCGTAAGTTATAGACCAAATTATAATTCTATATTAAGAAAATAAAAATAATAGTTTATTTATAAAACTATAAATATCGTTTATCAGCTAAAAGCTATTAAAGTTTAATAGAAAGACAAATAAAATAAAACTCCGTCCGCTTTTTAATCAGGGGCATCAAAATTGGTCATGGCTCAGTTTTATACTGTGAATAATAATATATGATTGGATTTAAGTGAACTTGTAGAATTTGACACATACCATATGATGCACAGAAGAAATAAGATATGACTTTTGGCATTAATTTACTTCAACTTCGAGTTTATGAAAGTATGTAACTCATATTCGGTTTCATTACGCATAATGTGATCCAAATATTCTAATTGTCAACATTTTACTGAGTGGATTAATTATTTTTCTTTACACATTTTTTATAGTGCTGTGGTCTTTGATGTTTTTTCCGAGAATTTCGGATTTCCCCGAGAATTCGACCCTCGTCATAGCCAGCTGTTTTCGAGAACAGTTCGTTCTCATTATATACACACAACCAAATTTATATGGACTCATCTTATATTTCTTATTATTTTAATTGAATTAAAAAAAAACAACCTACGAAGTCAAAACATATTTGTTATAAACCAATTAATCACCAATACATAAAAATTAAAGAAATACACAAATTCTTAAATAATAAAATTGAAATTATTTGCTTTAAAGTCAATGGCATACAAAATTTCAATGTACAAGAAATGATGTTTAAATTGTTTTTATTTATTTATGTTTTTTTAGTAATCGGTGTTACTAACCCTAGGTTTATGCAAGCTCTAATTCACGTGGGCATGCCCCTAAACAAATTGTTAAGATTTTATTGGGGTAGGATGTTTCCTTTCTTCAAGAGCAGCTTGTACTAGCTGTACAGTGTTTTGTGAATTATGCCGGCGAGTTTTAATTCTTTTTTTAATCATATTCATAAATACTCTGTAGAGTTAAGGTCGGGTGAGCCAGCAGACCACTACAGAATAGTGATATCTACTGCTTCAAGGAAGTCTGTAGTGACTCTCCAGGTATGTGGAGGTGCATTATTATGGTTATCTGGATTCTAGAACCAAATTAACATACCTGCGAGCTATTAAAGTTGATTCAATGGAAATTAAAGGAGTTTTTTTTTATATTTCCATATTACTTCTCCAGAACATAACACTTCCTCCTTTATATATGTGAACAGATCTGGCTGTTTCTGTTCTTGCTTGTTTTCCTTGCCCTCTAAGTATACGAATTCATAGGTTATATGATTTTACACAAATGCTTGTTTTGTCTGAAAATAGCACATTTTGCCAATTTCCAATGTTCCAGTTTTGGTATTGAAGACACCAATGTAGGCGATCAATCTTGTGCTGCCTGGTTCGGAAACCCGTAACTGTCTACTGCTGACATAGTAGCTGCTATGTCTGCATAGTCTTTGGGCATGAAGTCTTCTTATCGTTTCAACTGAAACACTTACACCTTTACTTTCCAAAATCTGCTTTTGGAGTTGCGGGTAAGAAAGTGTTGGGTCTCTTCTAGCTACTTAAGGACAATAAAACGATCGTGGCAAGCCGTTGTTACTTTTTGGCAACTTTATCTTTGTCTATTCTTAAGCGTTCCCAACTAACGATACCTAGCATAGGTTTTTAACACAACGACCTGTGTTACGCCTACCACTGCAGCTATATCCCTCTGAGACATTCCTTGCTCCATAAGACCAATAATATTTCCCCTTTGCACATCCGTTAACCCCAGATAAGGAATATTTTCGTTTTCTAAAGCGAAAAAAAAATTAATTTACAACTAAAGCAAATAATCTATACCGTACCAAGCTGTGTTATCTAATTGTTTTATTGGCTTGTTTATTTTCAATAAAAATCTTTATTTTTCGCAACAATAACAAGTGTTTTCAAAAGAAATAAATATTGGTTTAAAATACTTGGTGATTCCATATAAGTTTGGTTGTGTGTAAGCCAGCAGAGGCAGCCTTTAGGATTAGTATTGGGGATTATACTTATCAGTGGGAATTCTTCTAAGCGATAATTATTAATGGAATTAGTAATTTTAATATTATTTGTTAATAAGTGGGTTTTTGACTTTAATAAAGTTAGTTAAACCACGTCGTCCTTCACTTAATCTCTGAACCACACAGAACAACGTAACAATTGGGTCAGAAGTGTGGTTAAGTGAAAGAAGTTATTTTTGAGAATTTGTATGGTCAGAACAAGAAGCCAGACCAAGATGGAGGAAATTCGAGATATGATTGCCGCAATGGAAAACCGACAAGAAGAAAAATAAACCTGAACAACTGAAAGAAATCCAGAATTTATTTGTTCCCTGTCAATCGAATAATTGAAGCGGTAAGAATCAAAAGGATCTAAGTGCCGTTATGTTCGTTTGGAGATATTCAATGTTAAAGTTAATTGCTTATTGTAAAATCTGTAAAGACATTTCGTATAGAGTTTTTAAGGAAAAAGGCGCATAGTATATTTAAGTGTTTAATTAAGATTCACAAATGTTGTTACATGCTTGATTAACAAAAAAAAGTCACTTAGACCTCTTTGGTTCTCATCTTTTTATAGAAAACGATGATTTTCCTAATAAGAAAACTTTATTGCAATAGTACAAATAAAAAAATATTAATTGTCATAGTCAGAATAGATGTCAAGATCATTATTTTCTTCTTGGACATTTTCTTCCGTTTGAGTTTGCGTCGTTGGCTTACTTTTTGTTGAATTTTTATTCTTTTTGGGTTGATGGGCCATATTTTGGTAAACGATATGATAAACTGGGGAAATAAAAGGCAACAGCTGAATAAGATTTTCCCACTTAGCATATGGAATTTCCAAAACGGCTCTATACAGGGGTTGGTTTAAATTTTCCACAGATAAATTTTGTCTACCTACATTAAGTAATGAACACCTTCCAGATTGGAAAGCAAGGCCATTATTTGGATGCCTCGTTGTATGGAACATAAGGAATAAAAAGTGTTGTGTCTGTACTCAAACCATACGATTTCTCGCCATTTTATTGGTCGCTTTTCCATGTCTTTTTTTGGATCACACATGATCCAAACACATAAACAATTTAGCAATGTTCTTATTTTTATTTTGGCCACCACATTGATCACTGTAGCAAATCAGTTCTTCGATAGTTGGTGGCAAATCTTTTATGTACTGCAAAAAAAATATTAATTAATAATAAACAATGACTAAGTAAGGTATAGCTTTACTTAATAAGACATGATCCAATTTCTTGGGATCCTCGTTGGCCAATGGTCTCATTCCAGACGTACAGTAAAGGATATTCCACTAATAAGATCATGGACACAGAAGTTATACGTCCATAACTGACGTAGATAGTAAACTTTATTTGTTGAAAGTAGCGGTGTTGGAAGAGTTTTCTGTAGATCAAAACACACTACACGAACTTGTTCTGGATTTGCCCTTCCATGTTCTATGTCCAATTTCTTGCCATTTGTTACATTTTCTACCTTTCTTTGATGGCGTTCTAATTCGGCTTTACTTTTAGCCAACACTTCCAGATCGACAGAATTTTGTATTATAGTATGCAATCGGTCACATGTATGGCACGTATCAGAATGGGGCTTGTGGAATTTTAGATTAAACTCTGCACAGAAAATTTTTCTGTAATATGATTCTTTAAGTGCATTTTTTTTATATTTAAATCCTCTGGAAGGTAACTTGAATTATTGTTCTGAGTCCGCAAATAATGGCTCTTATAGCGGGGAAACATTTTTCTGTGACTTATGACATCATTGCGAATATTCGGGCCAATTTTATTCAAAGGAGTGTGAGATCCTCGTTTGTCAGGTTCAGTAATACCTTCAGAAGTTTTTTTTTGGCAAACAATTCGGAGTCTTCTGTTGGATATGTCAAATGTACGAAGAAAATACTCCTTGCAGACTCTAAAATTCATAAGACGTAATATTGTGGCAAAATTTTTATGCGAAACTGCCCCACGATTAGGTCGCTTTATATCCGTTTTACTTATACAAGATGCTAAATACTGCGTTTGCATATCATCAAATCATACGTTTGTATTTCATAAAACTTAGTGAAGAGATTTATTCTCTGTTGTTCAGATATTTTGTCACACTCATATCTACAACGATGGTCATATGGTTTTAACACCTTCTTCGTAATCTTTTTCCTTTACTAGTCACATACTCATTGCCACTTATCCTAGCCTGCTTTCTTTGCTGCTTCTTCCATTTACCCATATCCTTATTCCTTTTTCTGGTATATTTTAGGGTAACTGTAATAAATAGCAAGCATTATTAGTGTTTGTCAGCACTATCAAAATAACATACCATGAATACCACTAGTAGAAGGTCTATTCTCCGTCCCACTAATTTCCGATTCAACATATTCTATAGATTCATCAAAATCCTCGGATGGGTAGTATTCACTATCTTCGTTTGCTTCGAAGGGGTCGTGTTCACTATCATCCGAATCTAAGCTATAGCTTACTCCCCCTAAAAATATTTTAGGTTAGGTTTAATTTGAATTTAAAAAATCCTATAAATATAAATTATTTAATAAAATATCTATATTCTTTAAAATTCTAAATTTATCTGATGCAATTTTTTCTGTAGTCATGTTTAAACACTATAAACTTAATATTTCACTTCGAAAACTACACTAAACTTGCAAGACACAACGTGGATAATAATCAACAACTGATAATAAATTAGCGGCATAATGGTCTAAGCACGCTTGGACCTCTTTGCCACTAATGAAAACAGGACATCTGTAAACCTAATTTTTCCTCTTACCAAGAGATGGCGCAAAACGTTTAAAAATCAATTGGATCGTTTTGCCAGTAAGTAATGTTTAATTTTAACTTTGGATATTTGCACTTAACTCATTTAAAAAAAAATCACTTAGACCCTTTTGGTTCTTACCCCTTCATTTAAGCCTCCTACATTTGATGGTGAGACCTCCTAGCTAGTGTACAGAAAACAATTCTAACTCGCTGCACAAAATAATGGATGTGGGCAAATTAACAGAAGGCAACAGCTATAATATTAGAACTTCAAGGTAAAGTTATCGAAATCCTCCAAAACATCCGAGAGGGCACACAAAAGAGCTATAAAACCACCGTATCGGCTCTAGAACTAAGATACGGCAGCCAGTATTTGAAACAATTTTACCAGAGTTAACTGAATGTGCGTATCCAGGCTCCTGAACTGAAGGCTCCAACGGATCTGTGAAAGAGGTAGGCAGCGGAGGTAGAAACGCTAGCACGATTCGATTTGCTCGAAGTCCCGGAAGCATTTCTTCGGAAGAGGACTCTACCAAATATTCAAAGATGCCATTGCCGCGGTCTTGGAGTATGAAGCCATGAAAAATGTGTCCCGCCGTCAACGCAAAGTCTATCAAGTAAGAAGTATTTCCAAACTGGAAGAAAAAAGTGTTACAATTGTGGATTGGTAAAACCACATTTGCTAAAGTAACTTGTTCAACCATGAACTACCGTCCGAATTGCCTGGTATGAGCATAACACTACATTAGCCTACCTTCTCATTCTCTTATGCATCACATGGTTTTATCTTTCTCTGCCTCTCTCCTTTTTTCTTCATATCCGACTTTTACCTCTTATTATTCGCCCCTGTACACTCTCTTAATTTTCTGCTTAACTGTGCACCATATCTGGTATCTATTAGATCTGATACCTATCTGGTATCTATTAGAATCGCCATAATGATATCCAATCTCCGATAGGAGAGGCACTCAAAGAAGAAGAAGATATCTGGAGTCTATTTATTTTTCTATCCATTATTGTTCTCTATCCACTTCTTCACATATCTACCTATTCTTTTTTTTTTCGATTTTTTTCGATGCAGCAAAATTAGCTTATTTTCCAATATTTTTGTGATTGATTGTGGTCTGCCTTCCAGCTCTATTCCAGGCTACTCCAGGTGTATGTATGTATAGGAAAATATTGCGCAGCGTAAGCAATTGTCATTTTCTCATAGCTCAGTCGCTATGTTACCGGCTTAACAAGCTAGAGGGTCCGGGTTCGATTCCCAGCACTGAAACTAGAAAATTTAGAATTTCTAATTTAACTCAAATCGCTTACGCAACCTGAAAACATTACCACTAGAACTTAGCCAAAAAGTTACATGAACTTTACTTTTATTTTCAGATGGTTCCTTCCTGTATCGTCATTCCTTTTTCCTGTATATTCTATCTCTTTCCTTTATTAACACGCCTTTCGTTAACATATCGGTGCTGTCTCTTATAGAGCTTAATAGATTACACCAGAAAATAATGAAGTGAACTGCTCTTTTTGACTGTGTCCATATCAGGTTGCGGCCACATCGTTACTGTCCCTCTAATAAAGAATTATTAGAACGTATGTGTTCCCATTCAAAAGTTCAATTTGAAAAAGAAATCACATTCAGTCTGTCTTTCAGGTAGAAAAAATCCATCGAAAACAGATTAAGAAATGTGTATTGTTTAGTACCAAAGTTTCTTCCAATTTAAAATAATTACTTGCAACGCTTGAGTCACAAGCACTGTAGAATAACCATAAAAATAAATACAATTATTCAAATAATGATTTGTTTGCTCGTGATAGTCCATTTTAAACTGGGTAGTAGAAATAAATTTATAACTTACACAAAATCTATTTATTTAGTAAGCGACGACCAGTTTCGACCACTACAGTTTTCTGGTCATCATTGGGTAACCGATAAACTATAATCTTTACAAAGCTAAAAAACTTACATATTGTAATACTTCCATATTGTAATTATTCCATATTGTAGAAGATCGAGAAACCTTCGCAATGGTGATCGCCAACGTCGGATAGTTCTGATATGGTACGCGAAGAAGAAGAAGATTGTAATACTATTAATTTAACTAAACCCTACATCAAGTATGGTACAAAAGGTGCCAAAGGGGGTGCCCCCCAAATTTCCTTAATTTATTTCAAAAATAAATTTTCATGCTCTCCTGTGTTCATTTGCTTATTTTTTCACGAAAATTTTTTTCATGGAGTTATATTTTTCGCTAGAATAATAACTTTGACAAACGTTTTATGCAAACCCCCTTTTTTTCCCGATTAAGAGCCATATTAAATATATCATTTAGAAATAGGTTATTAACTCATCTTAAAATTAATAATTAACACATATCTTCGTAAATATATCTCTAGAATAAAGGTTTTTTTGTTGTATTCAATTTCTTTAATACAACAACACTGACATAGTTACAAACAATAATCTTACTTTGTAGGAGTATGTTTCTGTTTTCTTTTTCTGTTTACAATCAATCGCAATACGAAGTAGCTTCTAGACTAGCTTATCAAGAAACATCCCCTTTTTCAGATCAATGTATATTAAGTTAAAAACCCACAGACTATACGTTAGCAAAAATGAGCATTTGAAAACGGCATCTTAACGATAGACCTTGTACCGGAATGTAAGTACTACTTATATTATCTTTATACTAATGTCACTTTTACATTCAATAAAAAAACCACCCCCACCCTCAATTTTAACTAACATTAATAATATTATCACCTTTTGTACCATACTTGATGTAAGGTTTGGTAGTAGTAGTACAATATATAAGTTTTATTATTACAAAATTACGTTTAATGTGAATTAAGTTCTAGAATTTTATTTTAGAAAATATGCTACTAGTTCTACAGACACAAGTGAAGAATCATCTTGCCAACATAAAGGTACTGCGAATATAAATTTCGGCAATAGGGAAGTACACAGAGGAAGATGTATAAGTAAGTGTTCTTAGCATAACATATAAACTGACCCATTATTATTTAACAATCAAAACTTCTTCGTCTTCCTCTTTATAAGCAATTCTGATTGTTCATTGGCAGATTAGTACCTCTAGGAAGGTTTTCTCTCTATCTTTTGCGCGCTCGTCCGATACTTCTTCTGCCGATTAATGACTTATCTCTTGACTTAACTTTGACAACACACTATGTGGTTAATGTGTGGCAAAACATAAATTATCACAATTAGGCCGTTCTCACTCAATAATTTTTAAAGCTTGATCTGCAATCCACTTTTCCTTCCATAACAATTTTTGAACCTATTTTGTAGGAGTGTGTGCCTTAAGACGCAGCAAATAACATCTAGAGCCGCAAAGACCACCACCACGCAATGAGTGGTTCGATGCTGAGTGCGAGGACATTACAAGAAGAAAGAACAATGCATATAAACTGATGCAGCAAGGAAGAACCCGAGAAAAAGAACAAAAATATAAAGATCTCAGAAGAGAAGAGAAGTACATCCATTGGAGAAAAAAGCGAACTTATTAAAATAGAATATTGGAAGAACTTGAGGCATTAAAAAAGAAAAATCAAACAAGAAAATTCTATAAAAATCTAAATAATGCAAGAAAAGAATTTAAACCAAGGATCGGACTATGTAAGGATAAGGAGGGGCATATACTCAATACAAAAGAAGAAGTATTGAAAACGTGGGTGGAACACTATAAAGAACTATTTACTATCGAAGTAGAAGATCCAAATCAACCACCCCCAGGAGCAAGCAACAATACACCATTGGAGCCTCTATCAATTCAAGAAGTACGGGATGCAATAAAACACCTAAAAAATAATATATCTCCAGGAAGTGATGGTATACCCGCGGAACTTTTTAAATGTGGAGGTGCTACTCTGACTAACCATATATATAAAATCATACTGAGGAGGAATGAGGAAGAAATCCCGGAAGAATGGTGTATTGGGATCGTTTGCCCGCTACACAAAAAGGGTGATCAATTGGAATGTAGAAACTATAGGGGAATAACCCTCTTTAATACAGCATACAAAATGTCTTCAAAATCAGCAATCAGAAAATATTTTCGAGTATTTTATATAGTCGCCTGAGTGCATATTCAGAGGAGCTTCTTGGCGAATATCAAAGTGGTTTTAGGCCTGGTCGATCAACAACAGACCAGATCTTTGTGCTAATGCCGATACTGGAAAAAACCAATGAATTCAATATCGACACATACCATCTTTTCGTAGATTTTAAATCGGCCAATGATAGTGTTCTAAGAAATAAATTGTATGAAGCCATGGATGAATTTCACATCCCCGATAAACTGATAAGATTTGGTTAAAGCTACAATGCGTAAAGTTGTTTGCAAAGTCGAAATACAGGGCGAACAATCACAGTCATTTAAAAACGCATGTTGGGCTGCGACAGGGAGATGCGCTGGCCTGTCTCCTTTTCAACATAGCTCTGGAAAAGGCGGCCAGGGATGCCCAAATAGACAACAGAGGAAACATTTTTAATAAATCATCCAAAATATTGGCATATGCAGATGATGTTGACCTAGTTGCCCACACAACACGCAAACTAGAAAAAATGTATACCACCTTGTCAAATACTTCAAACAATATGGGCCTGCAAGTAAATGAGGAGAAATCTAAGATAATGGCATCAACACCAACAATACAGCCAGAAACATCGGCCACCAATTCACTGTTGATAACTCTACCTTTGAAATCGTAGACAAATTCACATACTTAGGTTCCCTGATCACCAAGGAGAACGTCATGACGGAAGAAATCTAGCGAAGAATAATCCTAGCAAATAAATGCTATTTTGGATTGAGTAGACACATGAGAAGCAGAAACTTAAGTCAAAAAACAAAAACAACCACATACAAAACCCTTATACAACCAAATGGATCGGAGACATGGATCATTTCCAAATGGGCCATTTGAACCAAGGATCCTGAGAAGAATATTCGGTGGCATATGTGAAAATGGTGTTTGGAGAAGGAGGTACAACTACGAGATATATCACAGATATATAGATTTATATATATATGTATATATATATATATATATATATTATATTTGGTGGTAAAGACGTAGTACCTAGTATCTCTTATAAAAATACGAAGACTAAAATGGGCAGGACATCTGGCAAGATCACAGCAGAACAACGCTCCTAGAAGAATCCTTATGTCATAACGTGTGGGAAGTAGAAGGAGGGGTAGGCCAAAACTCAGATAGACGGATGGTATAGATGAGGGTGGTAGAAAAATAGGCGCAGTAAACTGGCAACAGTTGGCAATGGATAGAACTGACTGGCGTAATAGACTTGGGAAGGTCGAGGCTTTTTTACAGGGCTGTAGCACCAATGATGGGGATAATATGTGCCTTCATTACTCGTAAAAATTATTTAATATCTTTTCTATATATAATCCAGAATAAATATAATCAGATGCCTCTAGTGCTGTTTTCTAGAATTTTCCGATATATCAACATCTCGGTTCATTCGAGAATAATACTGGAGCTAAGGTATTATTAAAGTTTCTGAGAAGATTCAGGCTTTCATTGTTAAGTATTCAAAGAAGAATTAAAATACATCTTTAAAATATCGGTATATCGTATTATTTCCTTATTTTTTCAGTTAGCAAACACTTTCTTCGTCAAATATCCTGATATTTTACTGACTTTTATTATATACAATAAAATTAAAAAATGTATTTTTTAGAACATTCCGATTCCAATCACGTTACTTATAGTGGAATAGATACAGAATCTGGGGAATATGTTATTATTAGTGAATGGAAATTTCAAAGTAACAACGAACAACAAGTTATTCAACGTCAGTTGGGAAGCATAGAACAAGAAATAAATTACTTAATGAAGTTGAAGCAAGCAAATCTTTCTCAGTATTATGGTGTTAAGTATGAATTCGATGGTGATAATGTTACGGTGTACCTGCTTAAGGAATTTGTATTAGGTAAATATCGAACGTGAATAAACTAATTATTTTAAATTAATACGTATTATAATTTTTTATATTATTATTATTATATTATATATTATAGATATAGAGCTGAAGTTATTACTATTACAGGAATTAATATTAAACTCAACATTCTTCCGGGTTGAACTGCGTCGATTATCATTGCGCCGAGCTTTCGACATCCTCTTCGATGTCTTCTTCAGGGCTTCCGAAATCTCAGTCTCCCGAGCCCTCAGACATTACTAAACTGATTACTAATAAATGCATTCTACCACCTGACCACCGTATGTGGTTTTTTTTCATTTCTATGACTTGTCGGATAATTCTTGGTTTATAGAAGCGGATGGGGGCTATGGTTCTGCAGTTTTTATAATCAATTTTGTGACTGAGCTTGACTGAACTTTTAGAGCTGAAATTGAGTCTGAATTGCGAACAGAAATGGAAGCTTCGTAAATCCTATTTTGGATTCTACGATTTGTTTGTCCTATATAGGATCGGAGACAGTCTGCTCAAGGAATTTCATAAACTCCGTGTTGTTCATTTGGAATGTTGTCTTTGATTGATCGGACAAGGGATGAAAGTTTTTGTTGGGGGGTAAATATTGTCTTTATTCTTCTTGATTTTAGAATTTTGTCGATTTAATGAATAACTGGATACTAGGATGTATACCATTCAGATGGGTTTGAAAAGACACCAAAGCCTCCCTGCCATGGGGCCAAATGGCGAATGTATCGTCAACATATCGTAGCCAACATGTGAGTTTGAACATTGATGTGGATAGTGCTCGGGTCTCAAAGTCTTCCATTAAGATATTGGCAATTACTGGAGATAATGGGGAGCCCATTGAGGCACCATTTATTTGTCTATGGAATTGATTTTGGAAGATGAAATAAGTGTTTGACATTGTTGGTAAAATGTTGGAAAAGTAATCTTGCTGAATACTGTATTTAGTTTTCAGAATGTTTAGAGTTTCGTCTATTCGCTCCGTGCGTGACCATGGTAGGGGTACACTGAAACGATGCCAGCGTGCGTAGCGGCGAAATATGACAAAATTGGAATATTGGACAAAATATTTTTACGCATAAGCTTTATCAAAAATGTGTGCAAATACATGTTGCGTATTTAATTTGCTAATAATAGCAAAAACAGTGAGTGTAATTTTATAGGTTCCCAAAGATTACATATAAATTAGAGAAAAGAAAAAGATGAATTCGTGCTATTAATATGAAAAAGTAAATATCACATAATTTCATTTTTATGCAATTGAAATAGGAACAATTTAAATAATTTACCTTGAATGATATTTCATAAGGCTTCAAGCTAACTGCAGATGACTTTAGCTTTTATATCATATATACTTGTACTATTATTGTTTTTAATTATATGCTCTTTTGCGTAAAAAACTTGATTTGCCATTACTAGATTTTTCGCTTTCTTTTCCGTTTGGAGTTGAAAAGATATATTATGATGAATTTTGAGAAACTCAGTTTTAATACTACATTTATTTTGTACATAAACTGAAAAAATATAGTTAAAATACTAATTTATTAATAATTGTCAATTTCACATGTATTTAACAATGTCAAACATATGTCATATATTTAACCTGAAAATTGGGACTCCAAAATTGTCAGATGAAGGCTGTAGGTGTCGCATCAGTCATGCACGGAGCGAATAGGAATGTTTGTAAAGAGTGAAACGATATCAAACTTACTATAATGTCTGACGGTGAGATAGGGTATTGTTTAAGAAGTTCGATGAAATGAAAAGAATTTTTGACGAAGGATAAAGTATTTTCGACGAGAAGTTGTAGAGTTTTGGCCAAGTACTTGGCCAATGGTTGTGTAGGGCAGTTGTATGCAATGACAATGGGACGTAGAGGAATATCGGGTTTGTGAATTTTGGGTAGGCTATATATTCGAGGTGTTCTGGAAGACTTTTCACGAGGAATTAGAGATTATTTTATGTCAACTGAAAGAGAGGTTTTATTGATAATGACTTTTGTTGTTTTCTCCGATAGATTGTTGGATTATTAGGAATTGGTCTGTAGTCTGGAGTATTAATAAGATTTGAGAGTTTATTAATACAAGAAGAAGTGTTTAGGATGATGATGGCGTTACCTTTATCGCCGAGAAGAATTACTAGATTTGGATTTGACTGAAGATCTTTCAGGGCTTTTTTCTCGGATTGGCTAATGTTCTGAGTAGGAGGCTTTGAGTTTCTAAGAACTCTAGAGATGTCTTGTCTGGTTATTTCAGCATCTTCGGAAGGTAAACTGGAGATGGCTTCTTCGGTTTGACAGATGATTGTCTCAATTAGAATGTGACTTGGCGTAACAGACTAATTGAAACCTTTTGCTAACGCTTGAGTGGCAATGGTCGAAATAGGGGTATCAGAAAAGTTATGAACCATTGTAATGGGTTTCAACGATGTTGTTTTTGGGATTTGTTAGATTCGAAAGTGTTTAGGGTCGTCTGTGTGTTGATACGGTCGAAACTGTACCATAAGATAGGATGTACATTGATCCTATCTTATGGGACAGTTTTCTTCCACTTTTCATTAGAACAAAAATTTACAATCATTTAGACTTTTTCAGTTAAGAAAAGACATGATAGTTGGACGGATCCAGATCTAGAGAATAAGGGGATGTTTACATGGAAACATGCAATTTGTGGGTGGGAGCATTATCCCGCAAAAACAAAATCTCGTAGAGTCCAACACGGCTTAATAAGTGTGCAACTTTTTTAAACCTAGCACGGATCTAAGGGGATTGCAGAAACTGATCTTTTTATGGTTGTATTCGAAAAATATGGATCCGATCAAGTTAATGAAAATTAATAAAAACAACAATACTAACGAACCGTAATGGTAAGACGCCAGCTGATCGAAATAAAACCGAAGAATGCATTCCTGGCAATACTAATAACAGATCATAACGACTAAATTGTTGTAATTGAAAAAGCGTGTGCTAACTTTATAAAAATGAAAAAGGTTCTTTTTAGCAAAAAATAGCCCTAAAAAAAGGATTGACTAAATGTAACGTATACAGTGTCTTCCTTTACTATAGATTTGATCGTGAACGTTGAATTGAGAGGAGATTAAAACACTTAACTAGTTTAGGATATGGACGGATTCTGAAAATCTTATAAATGCATTACGTAATGAACGTAAGGAACGGAAGGAAGAAAAAAAAATTGAATGGACAATAAAAAAAGGAAATTAGGAATTTTTCCAGCAGAAGATACGTGGGAAGAAGACGAATATCTTTTATGAAGAACCTAAGAGTATGGAATGGTGGCAATTTAACGACCAAACAGATATAATAATTTGCCACTGTTAAACATTTATTCATATAAGTGTAGTCTGAGGGTATACTCGTATTTATTATTCGTGTCAATAATATAATTGCATTAATAACTTTGTTTTAAAACACTTGAAGAAGCCACAGTATCATAAAATATGTCATGTAGAAGTAGTGTATTTTGAGGAAATGTGTATATTTTGTAGTGATTTTATGGAAATTTTTAAATGGTTTAAATTTCAATTTTTTTCAGGTTCTAACTGCTATTCTCTATTTATTAGCCAAAATCTTAAAATAGATACAGATTATCTAAAGTATTTAGCCCGAGGAATACTTATTGGTTTAGATTATCTACATAGAAACAATGTTGTTCATAGAGATATTAAAGATGCATGCGTGTATATTAACGAATCTGGTAAGTCGAAAACCACTGTAATGATCTGGTTATTGTAAGTATCTAACTCAATTTCAATTACCAGATGACATAGATTTATTTATTTATTAAACAGGATGTAAGAAATAAAAAAAGAATTCATTTTCGATATGCGACACCGTTATTACAAAGGGATATGATCAAAATTTATTAATTTATACCGTCAATTTACATTTCTGCTTGGGTTTGATTAGCACGGTTGTCGCAGATAATGAAAATAAAGTCAAATAAAAGCAAAAAATAAAAATTTTGTTTCACTTTTAGCTTTAATTTACACTTTTAAGTGTGTACTTATTATTTTTACACTTTTGAAAGCAATTTGTCGCTAATTTCTGCTTCTTTTCAGTTTTAACATTTTCGGCAATTATTCTCGTGCACGTTGTGCTTTTTGGAACAAGGTTTCGGCAAAGGATATCCTTAAAACCTTATTACTGAACTAAAAAACTAAATTATTACTAACCTAAAAAACTTATTACTGAATAATGAATGTGAAGGCAATTTACTTAAGCTCGTATGTAACATAATTCTTGCAACAAAGGAATCACGGAGTTATTGTATGTTTTAACCCCTTATATCCTCAACACATTTGTAGTAATGGTGACACTCGTAAGAGTGGTGGTTTAAACTCAACAGAAGAAACAATTAAATACGATTGGCGTTCCTACGGAAGAATATTACGATTTCAAGGATCTCAACCTAAAATATAACAGCAGTTGAATACTCTGTTCGCTTAGCTTTATTAGGGCGGCAGCAGCTTTTGACAGCTACTAATAAAATTAACAATGTTCAAACACAAGAAAATACACAAAGAAACGTGGGTCCTCAATGACGGCGTCACAAGAAATCAGATCGATCGTGTTATGGTAGATGCCAGAAGGATAGTAACTGCTTAGACGTAAGAAGCCTAAGAGGAACGTATGGAGACACGGATCATTTTCTGGTAAAAACGAAGATAACAACAAGAATAGCGTCCCAAAAAATCCACAAGAATACACCAACAACATTATGGAATACCGCAGTTCTGATGGATAAGGAGACAGAGCAGAAATTTTAACAGGCTATACAGATAGCGCTAACACAAACAGAAGATTATAACAACATAGACTCTACTTGGAAAAATATAAAATTAACTTTGACAAGCGTATTAGATTAATTACTAGGACACAAAAAAAAACAGGAAAAAAAATGATTCGATGTCGATTGCCTGTAATCCATAAAAGAAAGAAACTTATAAACAGACAAGAACAGAGACAAGAAAACTAATGAAAAGGAAAAATAAGGAGTACCAGGAACAAATAATCATAGATACAGAAGAAAATCGGAAGAACAACCCAGTAAGACAATTCTTTAAGGAGTTTCAGAGATCAAGGCCGGGTACCAAGCAAGAACAGGAAAATTTCCTCAAAACGACACCGGACAGCTTACCACTGTGGCCTTGAACCTTGAAGAAATACTTCAATCAACTGTTAAACGATCAATCTAGCAGAAATACATCAAACATAGAAGTGCATACAGCTGAAATATAAGACAAATACCCGACATACGAAAAAGTAACCCAGGCATTTAAAAAACTTAAAAATAATAAGGTACCAGGCAGCGATGGTATATCCGCAGAATGCTTAAAACACGGAGGATAAGCGGTGTACAATCTATATATAAGTTAATTCAAGGTATTAGGCGAGAAGAAACCATGCCAGATGAATGGAAAGAAGGGGTTATTGTACCAATCTACAAAAAAGGAAATAAAAATACTGTATTAACTATCGGAGTGCAAAAGTGCAAAAATCGAAAAACCAAAATATATAAAAATATAGGATAAAAACTAACAGTGATGGAGGCATGTTGTCAAGTCGGCTAAAACCCACGAAGGGTTGTAACGCCATGGAGTAAGTAAGATTTTATAAGATACTTCTCCGTTATAATTGTTGCGAACTTTTATTGGATAATTGCTGTCAAAAGATGTTCTTCTTCTTCTTAGAGTGCCGTCTCCCTACGAAGGTTGGCAATCATAATGGCTATTTTTATTTTAGAACTTGCTGCTCTAAACAAATCAATCGATCTGCATTGGTATCAATCACGTAGATTCTTTAACCATGAGTTCTGCCTTCGGCCAACAGATCTTCTTCCTTGAATCTTTCCCTGTATTATCAGTCTCAAAATTTCATATTTTGGTCCCTCATCACGTGGCCTAGGTATTCCAGTTTTCTGGTTTGTATAGTGGTGATTAGTTCTGTTTCTTTACCAACCCTCTCCAGTACTTCTTTATTTGTAATTCTATCAGTCCATGATATTTTCAATACTCTGCGGTATAACCAGAGTTCGAAGGCCTCGTTTCTTTTTAAATTACATTTTTTTAATGTCCAAGTCTCAGCTCCATATAATAATATTGAAAATATATAACAGCGAATGGTACGTAGTCTGATCTGCAAATTTAGATTTTTGCACGTTAGGAGTGGCGTCATTCGTATAAATGCTGATCTGGCAATCTCTATTCGTCTGTTTATTTCTACAGTATGTACAAAAGATGTTAGAGAGAGATAAATATATAATAGGAAGATTATTAAATTTGGAGTCAATAGGTCTTCTTCTTCTTTACTTTCTCCTATATCCTTCCTTTTTCTTCAAGGCAAAGTCCTAGAGCCTTGAGACTTAATACATATGTTCCTCTTGGTGTAAAGAAGAATACTGTTTAATTTGGGATCAATAAGTGTTCTTCTTTTTCTTATACTACAGCAAATCCTTACGCTTTTTCTTTTTATAGAAGGAAAACTTATATCACATAAAAAATATAAAAATTATCAAATTATTAATAATGATCTACACGAAATAATTAAATTTGCATATATTAAATGTATTGTAAATGTTATTTTTAATAAATTGAAGCAAATAAATAAATAAAAATGAAATTGGATGAAAAAATTAAAACAAAAAATCACATATGAATAACTTTTTAAACTGAATTTAAGATCCACTGAAATTGCATACTTTTTTTAAGAATAAATAATATTGCCTTTTTTTCGGCACTTTCCCAAGTTCAACATTAATTTTTTTGCAAATTTTATATCAAGCTCATGAAAAACAAGTGCTGGGATCATATTAATCTTCAATCGACTGGAAATGGAGGACTAAATGATACTAGAAAATACAAAATATGTGCAAAAGTATATATTACCACTTCTATTTCTGGCTAAGTAGACTACGCTATAAGTTTTATTTTCTAGAAAATGTCACTTTTTTGTCAAGTTAATGCAAGTTTTATTTTAGGTGTCGTCCAGATTGCGAATTACAGTATACATCGACGGATGTTAGATCTGACTAACCAAACGCATCAAAATTACAATAAAAAGACTGATATTTTTAAGTTTGGACTTCTCGTATTGTCCCTTTTACAGGGTTTTACTTGCACGGAAGAAAGTATGGAAATACCTAACACATTTTCTTCAGATGTATATGATTTTTTATCTAGGTATGAATATCCTTTATTAAATTCCTTCATTGTAATTGCTTTTTTTGTTGTTTGCATGTATTTTATATGGACATTTTTAATTTATTCAATTATGTATGGACAATTAGTCATTAACAATATATATACCATTATCAGCAAAATATGCTTTAGACAAGAAATATCTAAGATATGTGTTTTGGGACTAAACAAGAAAAAACTAAATAAAAAACAACTTGGTTATACGTTTTTGAAGAATTTTCAAATAATCTTTATAAAAAGAATTTCTGGAGTGGAATTCGAAAAGTCAAACATTAGTTAGTTAAAAATGTAATTTTTATTAGTCATTCAGTCATTTGTTTTAATCCCATATAAACATAATATTTAACATAACATGAGACTTTTTGACAAACTCTCATTCTTTATTGTCGATACGTTGTGTTTTGAAATCAAATGCTTTGAATTTATTTTCATACTCCATTGCTTACATTAAATTATTTCGGTTATCTTTTCTTGGTCTTTCGTACTATAAGACATGAACAATAAGAGGAGCCATACAAACGGGAACACAAGGAGACCTCAATAACAGAGATGATGTCCTAACCTCACACCCATTGTGGAAATCACTAGTTAAATAACCTAAGATCGGAATTAAAAAAGTTACATCAATGAAATTCAATTGCAGCAGCCTGTCCTATACACACATATCCACTTCGTCTCGTACAACATGTGTATATGTTCTCCCGCTGATAAAACATAATAGAAAAAACGTGAAATTAATGTGAGTGTCGAACCACAAAAGATAATTTAGTATTATTTCAAAGCTCAAATTCTTGACGGATGAACACCTTGCAATTGCACAAAAGCATTATATTTCATGCGTGTACCCATCCCAGTAACATATAAAAACTAGTCAGTCTTTGTACCTAAATGGGTAAATATCAGCATATTATCGCGATTTGAAGATTGTTCCTTATTATAAGGTATCCTCCGATTTATATGAACTCAAATCCAAATACCACAAGACATATTTTCACACCTAAGTGGTGGCGGTATAAAGGTACCATCTATTTTGATGGTACCAATTTATTAATTATCATTTTACGTCCTCAGCACCAGACGAAATATACAAACTATATCCTCCAGAAGTACTTTCTGTAGTAAACTGTAAACTTTATGATAGTATATGCTGTAGGAGTAGGATTTGTCAGCCTTTTTTATTTAAATTGGTAAACACTAGCATACTATCGCGATTTCCAGGTAGCTTCCTATCATCAGGCATGCACAGATGTATACGATCTCAAAGCCCAAGATCAACAACACGTCTTTACTTATTTTCCGACATAAGCGGTACAAAGATCCATTCTAATCTAATGCCGTAAATGAAAACAGTTTATTAATTATTGTATCGTGGAATCAGTTTTTCGATGCTGGTGTTCCGCTATATACATGGCTATAGTTTTCAGAAAAACTGTATATGCCACATAATAAGCTAAAAAGTTGCTAAATAACATGACCAAAATTGTCAGTAAAGGATTTAAACACATACCTGTTGCTTTTCATATGATGATGGATTGAATTCATTTTCATTCTCTGCATTGTCTTGTCTTTTACACTATCATAGGAATCATATCCACAGCTTTTTTGTCACTAGAATCACTTTAACACTCTTTAAACTCTAGAGAACATCCGGTAAGTGGAAGTTCATGATGACAGCTTGTACTTTTACACTGAACAATTCTGTGGCACAGCAGATTTTGTAAAAACGTCACATTAGCACATTCGCGCCATTTATTGACCGACCATCAAGATAGGCTATGTATATATATATATTATATATATATATATATATATTATATATATATATATATATATAATACTAGAATTAATTAACTGTTTTAGGAAACTCTAAGATAATTTATATTAACTGCTAGTTTGTTTTTGTTTTTTAGTTGTTTTTTAATATTTAGTAAATATTGATGTTTTTTATTTGTGTTTAAAATAAAATACCATTGGGTTGTTACATTGTTCTAGATGTCTCGCAAAAGAAGAATCTGATCGCTTTACTGCCTCCCAACTATTAAATCATTCATTTTTTAATAGACCTATCGTAAACTTTTCTCCAAAACATGCAAACGAAGTGATAGAAACAGAAAGAAATTTTTCGCCTGAAAATATCCAGGCGGACTTACAAATTCTATCGCAAAACTTGTCAAATGGTCAGTCGAGAATTAATAATGAATTTGAGTTCTTACAACATCTGGGAAAGGGAGCTTATGGTGATGTAATTAAGGTAACACATTTTTTTGTATTAATAAAATCGGGGGCGTAATGCTACTATTAGTAGCTAATATACTATTATTTGCAGTTGCAGAGCTATATTAGTTACTAATAGTAGCATTACGGCCCTTTCCTAAATTCAATAGCATTGCTCACAATTGTTTACAGAATACGTCCAGTGGTTTAGTCTACCTGGGTATAAAGGATTTTTGTATTTTTAACCTCACATATGTATTGTAACCATATTGGGGGTGGTGTGGAAGAGGATGCGAGGAAGATCGGCGTAGCAAACTAGCAACGGTTGGCGATGAACAGAAGCGACTGTTGAAATAGACTGGGTAAGGTCGAGGCTCAACTAGGGCTGTAGCGCCACAAAAAACATTGCTTTTTATGATAATAAACAATTCGAAAATTGAGCATCTTTTCTAAGAGTATACACAATGTGCTCGTCAAAGAGATTGTTCTGAAAGAGATTACTGTGTTTTACACTGAATCAGATTTCTTGATTGGAATTAAAAGCAACTGTTGCCAAAGAGAAGGAAATTCTTGGCTTGTCGATATAATATTATATAGTTCAAGCAGTTTCAATTGTGTATTTAGATGTAAATTTTTAAAGAAAATTGGGGAGATCATAATCGGATCCTGCTGCCGAATTCTTTAAAGTTGAAATGCCAAATTCGAGTTCTGACAAAGAAAAGGAAGATTTATGGACTCTATATGACTGGAATTTGTCGCGTAGGTTTTTGTGGATGTTTGGTATTCTAAGTTACCTTTCGTTTTGTTGAAAAACAATTTAAAAACTAAATTTATGACCAATTCCCAATAAAAGTACATAATATTAAAACGTTATAAGAAAATATCTTCAGAACAAAAGTAATGCGGAATTTGCACACTTTTTGAATGTGTAAATTTTTATGTAAAATTTGTCAATTCCTACAGTTTCAGTAATCATCTTCCTCTTCTTCAAGTCCATCTTCTATCGTAGGTTGTAAATAATCATGTCTATGCGGACCCTGTTGACTGCCGCTCTAAATAGTTCTGCACTACTGCATTCAAACCATTGCCTCAAGTTCTTAAACCATGATATTCTTCGACTTCCCACATTTCGCTTTCCTCGAATTTTATCTTGCATAATAAGTTACAATAAGGAGTATATTTGAGCTCTCATCACATCACCATACACATACACATCACAGTATTCTGAATGAAGTATCTTACAATAAGGTCGTCCCAGGAATGCAACTCGGCAATATTGCCAATATCATTGACAATATTTTAAAGTCATCTACTTTAAATTTGTCAATATATGTAAATGTGTCAGATAAAATTGAATTATTAGAAGAATTTTTCACCAAGAAACAAAAAAACAAAATTTGTTGAATTGATTAATGTTTGTGTTTTGAGAACGATTTCCGAAGTGGAAATTGTAACGCCAATAACTTATTTTAACATTCAATTGTGGCTTATTTCCACTAAAATTGTTCATATTCGTTACAATACTTCAGATTAAGCATATTTTTTAGGTAAGAAATAAGCTAGATGGAGGTTACTATGCTATTAAACGTATACAATTAAATCCAAAAAATAGAGCTTTAAATAAAAAGATCGTTAGAGAAGTTAAATTATTATCTAGACTTAATCATGAAAATGTGGTACGTTACTTTAACTCCTGGATAGAAACAACGACGATTAAGGATGAATTCAATAATACTTCAAGTTCTATTTCTCCCGAGGAGAGAATACCACAAATTGTTAGAAAAACAGAGGTGAGTATAATTTATTTAAATACATTTCTTCATAAGATTCTGTCTTGGACGATGAATATCAATCCCCATTACCAACATGTCCTGCCTAATCGTCTAGCCAAGGTTTTCTTTTGTCTTCCTCTCCTACCCCTCCCAGGAACATGCAAATCAGCAATTGTTGGTATTGTGTGATTTAAGTCTCGACGATGAACATGTCCGAACCGTCGTAACATCTGCTCTCTAATTTTGATATCAATTCGTGCCACCTCTAATATACTCATTCTTAATTTTTGTCACTCCACTCATCCATCTAAGCATTCTGATTTCCGCCACATGCATTCCTTGTTCCTCTTTTTTTTTAACTGTCCAACATTCAGTTCCGTACCTTATAGCTGTTCTTATGGCAGTTTTATTGTATTTTCCCCTCAGTTTCACTGCAATCTTTTTGTCACACAAACACACCACTTGTTTCCTTCCACTTCATCCGCCCCAACTTAATTCTACTTCATGCATATCCATATATTTCTTCATTATTCTTTAATACTGGTCGTTGGTATTTGAAACTATTTTCACTGTGGTACTGATCGTTGATATTTAAAACTGTTTTCACCATCTAAAATTAACACTTTATTTTTAATAATTCCATCTTTAAATAAACATTCCAAATACTCTTGTTTCTGCCCTATTAAGTTTTAAGCCTTCTCCTCAAGAGCTGGTCTCCACTGTTCCAGTTTTGTCCTAAATCCTGTTCAGTATTTCTATTAACACTACGCCTCAGTAATTAGTCCAGGTAATGTTACTGTAGTTCTGATCCATGGTGAGAATAAATTAGACACACGAGCCGTGGTGCAATTATCGTTTTAGATGGAATTTATCAATGTCTTACACCTGTCCTAACACTAGTTATAACCCCCCTCTTCATGTATCTCACAATATCCGGATATTCACGTGATCTCATTTCTTATTGAGCGCCCTCCACAAATCTCTCGAGGAACTATATCATATACTTTCACAAGATCAATGAATACCATATGACCGTTTGTTTCTTTATTCCTGTATTTTTCCACCAGCTGCATTATAATGAAAATTGCATTTCTTGTTGATCTGCCTTGTATAAAACTAAACTGATTTTCGGTTTCGTCACGTATCCATCTATCAATTACTCTCTCCCATATTTTCATGGTGTGATTAAGTAGTTTTATAGACCTATACTTTGTGTATTGTTGTATATATCCCTTGTTTTTGTAAACGGATACGAACATAGTACTTGTTCATTCGTCTGGCATTTATTCCACTTCCATAATTCTATTTAATTACCTATCAGGCAACTTGTTCCTGCCTCTCCTAAAGCTGTCCACACTAACCCTGAAATATTATCTGGTCCAACTATTTTACCATTCTATGTTATTGTCTCTGATAGCTCAACTGTTTTTGTGTCAAACTTTTTATTGAATAAAATGTCTAATGTACTTTTTCCACCGTTTTTGACACCCTGTTCGTGAATTAGTGTTGTATTATTTTCATCTAGAGTATTCATCTAAGATTTTGCTTTCTTTGCTCTATGTTGGCTATTGTTCTCGGACGCGACTAGTTCACGTTCGAGACGCATCGCCCCGCCCCTTATTTTTCCCGTTGGCCCCTCCTGACCTGGAAATCCCTAATCGCTACTTCAGAAAGTATAAAATTAGGCGATTTTCAGGTCAACCAGTTCAGTCCTTCACGGGCACTCCGAGAGCTTAGTGCTCTCGGGGCTCTGCTTCCTTTTTAGCTTTCCATACTCTGTGGCTGAGTATTATTTCTACTGTATTTTTGGTGTTTTATTTCGACCTATATATATTTGGTCATGTAAGAAATAACTTGCCTTTTTCAAGGCAAGACATCGAAGACAACAAACTGATGTTTATTTCGACAACTACCATGTAAGATATTTGTCATGTAAGAAATCTCTCGTCTTTATTAAGACGAGCCATCAGGAAACAAAACATTTTGAAGTCCATACCCTGAAAATGGACAAAAGTAGAGGAGCTCACGATGTTTTCGAAGCCCCTCTACAGAGCACACGGTGGTACAGAAGGTGGCAAGACCCTTTCCATTTACCCCGAGGTGACACTATTGTATATATCTTTTCTTCACCTTCTCTGGTATCCAATTCATCGTATATGTTGCATTTAATGCAATGTTAATTTTGAATTATTGTTAGTGTTACTATTTTGAAATGATTTTTTATCATTTTTGTCAACAATCTGTATGGCCATAGTCCTGTGGTTGTGGAGCAATTTCTCTGGCACTCCATTCTAGATATTAGGATAAGTTAGATACTTACTTAAGTAAGTCCATTTATTTTTTTTAATATAATATCTACATGGCAACTACATGGTATTTAATAAATATTTTAAACTACTTTTCATGTAGCTTCTGTTGGTGATCAACTGATCAGTGATCACCACTCGATGTTTGTGACTCCTTCTTTAAGCATAACAAGTTGACGTTTGACTTGAATATAAAATGTAAAAAGATTATTTTCTTTTAGTTTACTTTAAATGACAACATTGAAGCTTTAGCTCCATCTATGAAAAATGTGGAAGTTTCTATTACATATGATAGTAAATCTCAAGCGCCATATATCAGTTCTTCTGATGATGAGTCAAGTGACGATGATGAAGGTTGGGGGCCGAGGTAAGTAATCTTGTGGGTTGTGTTTACAGTTATTTTCACGAGCTAACCTGAAAAAGTGGCACGAATAATTGTAGAAAGTAGTACACTCGCCAAATAAAATTAAGTTTGTTAATGAATTTGCTGCAAATTTGCTATTATATATATATATTAATATATATATATATATATATATATATATATATATATATATATATTATATATAAGCCAAACTGCTGACTGGATTAATTTATATTTTTTATAGACAATTAAATAAATTATAATAAAAAACTATTGTTACTGGTTTTGCTTTCCACTTAAAGTAACTGTATTTTCATTCATATATGTCCATTAATCAAACCATGACAATGACATATATAGTGACAATATAGTTATTTTTAATACAAAGTTTTTAATATATTTATAATGGTTTGTTTTGTGGAGTACAATAGTATTAACAACTGTAATCTCACGACTAGTAAGTAAGACAATTAACAATTTTAACTAGTTAATTTATATTTCTCTTTATAGATGTCTTGAAAAAGAATTAAATAAAATTCGAAAGCTTGACAGTAAGTCAAAGAGTTTTCTTTGTCTTGTGGGCCAAATAAACTGACTGCATCCTCAAAAATCATAATTTATATTTAAATCAATATAACTACAATAAGCCAGGAGACACAGTTTACCCTTGTGAAACACTTTCTTTTTCACTCTCTACTTAGAAAAAAGACGTTAAAATAAAAGTAAACGATTGCACTTCTTTTCAATTCTAGCTCCCAACATTCTCTTACACGTGTTTCAAGGTTTTACCTCCCATCAGGAAGACATGTGATAGCTCGAATTAAAATGAAATGCTGTTTAGTAACAAGAAGCCAGGAAAATTCTCTTCGATGGTAAATTAGGTGAACTGTGAATCCAAGATTACTCGAAGCTTATTGGACAATGTTAGGAATAAACTTTTATTCCGACAATACATCTACTGTTTACCACTTGCAAAACACGACTTCACACGTAAAAGTGAATTCTGTGCAAAACTTTCGTTAAAACTGATTTGGATCTAAATAACCTAATGATTACCCATCTTTTTAATATCTAATGTTTCATTACAGTATAACAATTTTTAGAAAACGGTAATTAAAAATGCAACAGTGTCAAGAACGTCCGATTTTAGGGAAAGTCAATAAACTTCAAGTTTATTAGTAGTAAAATATTATTATTAGTAAATGGAAAAGATATTAGATTTTGAAAAAGCAAAGCGATTATAATGACCACCTCCGTCTTTCTAGTAGGTCTTCCTCTCTCTTTAGAATAAATAATTAATCGGAACACCCAGTTTATTCTCCGAAACGTTAATTTAAACCAGGCTCATTAATTGGCGGTTGACGCCCAAATATTTTGGAAAATATATTCAAGTTATTAAAATATGACCTAGTTTGATCTTGCAGGAAAATCTATTTTTCTAAAAATCATTAGTAGCTGTAATGTTTTCATTATTTATAATCAGTTTACTTTATAAAAAATACAGACTAAATAATAACGGTGAAGATCTTAGCTTCTTAAAAAAGACATTACTGAAAAACTTCGTTTAGTTTAAATAAAAAAAAATTAATTACTTATTTTTATTTTTTAAGATACGAAGATTCCGATTCTGATTCTGACAGTATAGCATTTGAACATGAATCAGGTTCTGAGGAAAAAAATCTATCAACTACTGTATCGAGTCAGCACCGATCGAGTTCTCCAGATATTCCTACTGAAATTGTAAAACAGATCGATTTCATGTATATCCAAATGGAGTTTTGTGAAAAAAGTACTTTACGAACAGCCATTGATAATAATTTGTATATAGAAGAGGATCGTATGTGGAGGTTGTTTAGAGAAATTGTTGAGGGTGAGGAGTATATTTTATTTTAGTTCATTTATATATATATATATATATATATATATATATATAATATATATATATATATATATATATATATATATAATATATATATATATATATATAAAACATAGGGAAAATTATAAAATTCCGAATACTTTATAAGCGGAAAATACTGAAATTCATTATCATCATCTTTGGCTCGACAATCCTCTGTGGATCTTGGCCTGCTCTAAGATTCGTCGCCATTCTGTTCGGTTTTTGGCAACATGTTGCCATCTTCTGATTTTTAATGAAACTGAAATTCATTACTAATTAACAATTTTTTATATTTTAGGATTGGTATATATTCATCAACAAGGAATGATACATCGAGATCTGAAACCAGTGAACATTTTTTTGGACTCTGAAGATCATGTTAAAATTGGGGATTTCGGCCTAGCTACAACTAATATAAAGTCTAAACAAAGCGAATTTCTAATTTCCAAGAGTATTCTAGAAAGTGATAAAGAAGAGACTTTCGATGAAAGTAAGACAGGATTTGTTGGAACCGCTCTCTATGTAGCACCCGAAATCAGTATAACTTCAAAAGTTGTGTACAGCCAGAAAGTGGACATATTTAGCTTAGGTAAAATATTTTAAAATTTTTTCATGTTCAGTTTATCGGACACTAATACTATTTAATGCTATATTAAATATCAAATATTAAGATATCTTCATGTTTTAGGTATCATACTTTTTGAAATGTGTTATAAACCATTAGATACTTCCATGGAAAGAATTAAAATTTTAACCAAATTAAGAAATAAAGACATTATATTTCCTGCCGACTTCCATGAAAAAAATACTGGAAAACAAGAGCTATTAATTAGGTAATATATTGCTGTTGGTTATAAATATTTTTGTATTATCATCATAACAATCAACAATCAACTGAAATTAAAACATAGTCGTAAGATGTCTATGGAATGCTGTTTGGCGTGTAGTAGATGCTAGTTTTACTATTTAAATAATAAAATCGCGAAGAACTAAGCATATAAGAGTTTACATGATTTTCAATTCAAATTTTTAATTAAAAAATGTTTTATTGCTTGTAGATACATAAGTAAAAGCTTATAAAACAAACAATATTTTACTACATGACTCTTAGACGTCTGGAGGGATTGATCAAAATACAAAAACACCTTATTTGCTTTCTCATAACGATTAAAAATAAGTGTGATTCTACCTTTTTAGGTTAGGTGGGTTAGCTAGATGGGTTGGGCGGGGTGGGGGTCGCTGAAGCAGCGGTCGCCATGTTGCCAGCAGTCGTTTAGCGTCATCGCGCGTGTTTAAACTTTTAGGCCGTTTTTAAATTTCGATGGCTTCACGAATGATAGTCGATTTAAGGAGCGGGTGGAGGCGATGGTTTTTGCTTTTTCGAACTCTAGTTTGTGGCCTGTCTGAATTTGATGTTGGGCTAGGGCTAAAGTAGTATCGGAATGTTTTGCAGATATAGAATGTTAGTAAATACGGTCATGTATTTGTCGGTTTGTCTGTCCTATGTATGTACTGTCAAATTTTGCTTTATCGTATTCACGAGATAGGAGAGGAAATGGGCATTAAAATAAACTCACACAAAACCAAATTTTTAGTGTTTAGTCGTGACCTACACCCCGATGAAAAGCTTTAATTGAACGGAGTCCAAGTTGAGAAAGTTCACAAAATGGCATATTTGGGAACTGTGATAATGGACCAACTAGATCCAGACATAGAAATAAAACGTAGAATAGCAATAACTAAAACTACTTTTATGAAAATGAAGTAATTTCTTTGCAATAACCATCTCAGTTTAAAACTAAGGCAAATAATGGTTAAGTGCTATGTTTGGTCCGTACTTTTGTATAGTGCAGAAGTGTAGACTCTAAAAGTATCCATCATGAACAAAATTGAAGCATTGGAAATGTGGGTTCATAGACGAATGCTGAAGATACCTTGGACAGCAAGAAAAACAATAAAGAAGTACTAAGGAGCGTCAACAAAGATAGAGAACTGCTAAAGACTGTTAAACATCGAAAAATGTCTTATCTGGGACATATAGTAAGCGGAAGTCGATATAAAATATTAAAACTGATCCTTAAATGCAAAATAGAGGGCCGTAGAGGTGTAGGAAGAAAAGAAGTTTCTTGGTTAAAAAACATTCGTGAATGGACTCAGATATCAAATGCAGGACAATTATTCCATATTACAGAAGATCGAGAAGCCTTCGCAATGGTGATCGCCAACGTCGGATAATTCTGATATGGCACGCGAAGAAGAAGAAGATGTATGTAGGTGGGCAACTGAAACAAGCTGTCTCATAGACAACATGGTCTTCATTGAGAATTTAGTCTTTTACGGAATTGACTAGTTTGGACAAGTTAAAGTGAATAGTGTAAATGATTTTGATGTTTAGACGGTTAAGAGTTCTACTGATCTTGTCAGAGACGGTATAAAGATTTTGGGTTGTTCAGGCGGCAAGGTTTCTTTTTTGGATGGAGTGGGTTTTAGATGTTTTTGAATGCTATTGATTTGGGTTTTGTGGTAGCCGTTTTGTGCCTTATTGAATTGATTTCGGATGATCTGTGATTGTTGTCGCTAACTTTTATGGAACGGTAAACAAGAGTGTTGATAACTAAATTGAGATTGCGGTTTTTATGTGTGGGTTTTCGGTACACGGAATAGGAAAACTGTGAGGTGGGTGTTTCTGAATAAGAACATCAAGGGAATGTCAAAGACGGTCAGACTCAACTTCCATCGTGAATTGAATACTGGGATATATTCCATTTAGGTAGGAGAGGAAGAGATCTAGTGCGTCTTTACCAAGGGGCCAAATGACAAAGCTGTAATCAATGTACCGTAACCAGCAGGTGGGTTTGAGATTTGATGAGGACAGGGCTGTTGTTTCAAAATGTTACATGTAGATATCAGCTGTTACGGGAGAGAAAGGGGATCCCATTGGGGCACCTTTGATTTGACGATAGAAATGATTTTGGAATGAGAAGTATGTATTATACATGCAGTGTTTTATAACAGATAATGTGTCTTGGGGAATTTGATGTTTAGAGTCCAAGATGGAAATAGTTTCATCGATAGGAATGTTGGTGAATAAAGAAACAATGTCAAAACTAAGAGTTTTTGAGAAAGGATGAGGCGTTTTTGGCTAATGGTTATAAGCATAATGGTGGATGTTTTACCAATTTCTAAGTGGGGCAGTTGTATGCACTTACGATGGGTCGTAGGGGCACATTGGGCTAATGGATTTTTGGAAGGCTGTATATCTTTGGAATTCGGGATGATTTTTCTCTGGTATCGTTTGGGACGCGTTTGTATTCTGCAGATTTTAGAAGTTTGAATGTTTTGTCGAAATAATTATAAGAGTTGAAACTGATGGTGGCATTACCTTTGTCGACCGGAAGGATGACAGTATCAGGGTTGTTATAAACTTCATTGAGGGATGTCTTTCTGAAATACTAATATTTGACGGTGAGGGTTTGAAAGTACGGAGAATTCTGGCGAAATCTTGTCTGGCAACATCTTATCTGGCAACTTCAGTTTGGCCGGAAGGAAGATGAGAAATAGCTTCTTCAGTTTGACAAATAATTTTCTTAGTTGGGATGGAAAGAGGAGTGACAGAAAAATTGAATCTTTTTGACAGAGCTTTGGTAGCTGAATCGGATATGTGAATATCTGAGAAATTGCGACAAATAGTAGAAGGTTGTTTATTTAAAAAGGGCTGTGGATTTTGCTGACAGATAAGTTGGTCCCGTTTGCGTTTTTGGGTTTGGGTTTTGTTGTCAGAAATGTGTTGGGCTTTTTAGTGAGAAAGACGATCGAAAGTGTCCCATAATAATGGATGGATATTGAAAAAGTGAATGTCATTTCAAATTTTGAAAAGTTGGGAATTTGTTGTGTCATAAGTTGTGTTGGGTGGAATGAATTGAATATCGAAGAAGCGAAAAACCAGTTGCGATAAGAATTTTGGAAATGGATGAAGACTTAGTGTGATGTTTAATTTGAAGAGATTTGCGTGTAAGAATATTAGAAAAAGATTTAGTAAGACTGAAATATTTCCCCTCCCCCCTGTCCTTCAACGCGAATGAAATGTTCGGATATTCTTGAGACAAATTCTAGAGAAAACACTGGAATATGGTGTAGACACACACACCACATATTTGTAGACTATAAGGCAGCCTACGACTCTGTAAATAGAAGAGAATTGTTTAGAGCAATGATAGACCTAGGAGTACCAAATCACTTGGTAAGTCTAACCAAACTAACCCTTGAACAAGTTGAATGCAGAGTACGAATCCAGGAGGAACTCTCTGAATCTTTTAAAACAAATAACGGGCTACGTCAGGAGACCCAATCTTCTGTATACTATTCAATCTAGCTCTGGAAAAAGTAATACGTACGTCACAAATCACAACTACCGATACACCGATAACACGAAATACATGAAAATAGGTTCGCAACTACAAATACTACGGCCACTCGATTTAGAAAACGACGTTATCGAAGCAGTTAACGAATTTGTATACCTGGGAATGCTCGTCAATACTGAAAATGATACTACCGCAGAATTTACACGGCTAATAGATGCTATTTTGGGCTTAATCTCCTTTTTTAAATCTACAGTTATATCAAAAAATACAAAAGTAAAACTCTACAAAACAATAATACGCCCAGTCCTAACATATGGTTCAGAAACCTGGACTTTAACAAAAAGAAATGAAAACATGTTAGGATGTTTCGAAAGAAAAATACTAAGGCGAATCTATGGAGCGGTAAATGAAAATGGTGTCTGGAGAAGACGATACAACTTCGAACTCTACAGAATATACCAGAAACCAGATATCGTAAAACACATTAAGATAGGACGTCTGAGGTGGGTAGGCCATGTAATGCGGATGGAGCAAACCGACCCAGCTAGAAAAACGCTCCTTGACAGACCTATTGATAAAAAAAGAAGAGGAAGATCCAGAACAAGATTCCTAGATAACATAGATCAAGATATGAGAAATATGGAAATACGTGCTTGGGGAGGAAGGCGAAGGAGGAAGAAAAGAAGAGAGAAGAGAGTTGTAAAAGATTATACATCATGTTGTAAAAAAATGATGTTCAGTATTAAATTAAATTTGACTTCAGGTAACATACATGGCTGAAGTGAGTTCCAGAGCCGGAGAGTAAACCTCTTCAAACGGAGAACTGTTTAGTTCAGTTACCGGCTGTTCTCCGTTTGAAGTGATTTACTCTCCGGCTCTGGAACTCACTTCAGCCATGTATGTTACCTGAAGTCAATTTAATTTAATACTGAACATCACAGTTTTTTTACAACATGATGTATAATCTTTTACAACTATATGTAATTTACAGGGTTTTTACCAGGTATTTTGGTGGCTCAGGCATTATAACCTTGCAATTTTAAATTTTAAAACCTGATGATGGACTGTTTAGTCCGAAAACGTTTGTTTGTTTTATGTAGCCCTTTTAAGGGTTTTTTAAATAAATATACCCATTTACGAATACTAATTAAATAACTTAATGTGTCTATACTAATTCTGTAAAGATTTCGATCGATAGCTTCTTGGTACATACTATCAGTAAGGTATATTTCTCTCTCTAGTCAATATGTCATTAACTATCGTACTCTAATTGAATCATTGTTTAGATCATCATTACAATCTTACAAATGGTACTATAAAATCTCTGTCGAGGATATCTTATATAAACATCTGTCGATTTTACGTAAAATATATAACTTATTTCAATTAAATACTTTTGCTTTATAAAATATTTTTAGATGGCTACTAGACCATGACATATCTAAGCGTCCTACATCGCAGGAACTTCTCCAATCTGAACACATTCCTCCACCAGTACTAGAAGAATGCGAACTTCGAGAATTGGTGCGACATACATTGAATAATCCTCAGTTGAAAGGTTACAAATATTTGATAGCATCCTGTTTCAAGCAGTCTGTAACACATGTTCAAGATATAACGTATGATAAGGATCCTTCCGCTCAAAACGTGGTCAAACCTTTACTTCTGCAAGAGTTCGTTAAAGAGATATGTATTAAAGTAAGTACTGTTTGTGTACATATATTCATTTGTTTAATAGAATAACATTGGAGTTATAGTCAAACAAGCAAATCGATGTTAACACCATTTGGTTAATTAATATACAATAATTTTATATGTTTGACGTAATCAATTGTATCATTATCATCGTAAAGCGCTACAAGCCTTAGTGGGTCTTGGCTGACTCAGTAGATCTGATATGTAAAAGTTAAAAAGAAGTTATTTACAAAAATTGTAGGCAGCTTTAAACAGGTCTTTCATTATTCTGTAGTCAGTGGAATGTTCATTTTTTGGAGATCTGATTGTATGTTGCCTCTCCATAGTGTGATGCTGAAGTGGGCTTTTTCTTTTGATCCCAAACTAGTTTTATAAGTTTTTCGTTGTGCAGGATACGTACGTACTCTACCCACGTTATCGTTGGGATTTAATCTCTTGGACATTGTTATTATTATTATAAAGTTTTTTTATTTCTGTATTTGTTCTTTTTTTGGTCATATCGTGGTGAGGTTCGTGTTCCTTAATTTGCTTTGGCCAGTGTGTATGTTTCGTATTCATATGTTAGTACAGGCCTGAAAATAGATTTACCGATATTGACCTCTTGTTCGGTTTTTAGATTATTTAAGTTTATCCAGTGCCTACAGACAGCGGTTTGAAGCCTGGATTCTACTTTTTATTTCTTCAGTGATATCATTAGTGGCCGTAAGTATTGTTTCAATATATTTAAAACGTTCAACTTGTTCGCAATTATAGGTGTTGATTGTGATCTTCTGTCTATTCGGTTGTTCTCTTGATGCAGATGTATTTGGTTTCTCTTCGTTTACACACCATTACTCAACATTTTTTCTGTTGCTCCCTCAGCCTTAATGAACATTATTAACAATACAAGATAAATAATAGCGTTAAGTCTTTTAAAATTCTACTTTAGATATTTCACCTCCCATATATGGTCATCTGAATGAGTTTCTTTGGTATTAAGAGCTCCGCTATTGCATTCCATATTTATTTCCCTCTACGTTATCATATGCCTGTCGACAGTCTATGAAGAGATTATGTATGAGTCTAGTAAATTCCCATCATTTCTTTACAAGCTGTCTCCTACTCCTAAAACTCCTAAAGTACGGAGGACCAGATCTGACAAGACAACTATTAAAACTAGTCCAAAAAATTATGGAACAAAACAGAATTCCTCAAGAATGGAGACCAAGCATCCTAGTACCTCTCGTTAAAAAGGAAGACAAAGCGGACCCGGAAAATTACAGAGGAATTACTTTATTAAACACAACACTCAAATTAACAACCAAAGTGATAACAAATAAATTGAATGAAATTATAACACTAGCAGAAGAACAAAAAGGTTTTAGGTCGGGAAGATCATGCACCGATGCTATATTTATAATGAGGCAAGTGCAAGAGAAATCATTAGAATACAACAAACCGGCATATCTATGTTTCGTGAACCTTAAAAAGGCATTTGGCCGGGTCAAGTTAAAAGACGTTATCCACTTACTGTATGCAAGACAGATACCTCTAGGAACAATCAAAACTATCGAAAATATCTACCAAAACAACACAATAAAAGTAAAAGTAGAAGAAGAACTAACCGATTATATTGAAGCTGGAAATGGGATAAAACAGGGAGATTCCCTGAGTCCTCTATGGTTCATCCTGATTATGGATGAAATAATAAAAAAGTAAGAACAAAAAAAGGATACCAAATGGGCGAAAAACAACTTAAAATAATCTGCTATGCAAACGACGGAATACTACTCTCTCAAAGTGAAGATGATTTACAACGTATGCTGCACCAATTTAATATAACTGCCAGAAAATTTAACATGTTAATTTCCCCAACAAAGACAAAATGCATGGTTACAACAGCAAATTTACTAACATGTAAATTGGAACTGGAAGGTCTGATAATAGAACAAGTGATGGAGTTTAAATATCTAGGCATCACATTATCTAGCTGCAGAAAGCTCGAAACCGAAGTGGAAGATCAAGTGAATAGAGCAAACAGAGCCGCAGGCTGCCTAAATGAAACAATATGGAGAAATAAAAATATCGGGAAAGAAACGAAAGGCAGAATTTACAAAATAGTCATCAGACCAATAATGACATACGCGGCAGAAACAAGACTTGACACAGAGAGGACAAAAAGGATGTTAGAAACAGCAGAGATGAAAACACTTAAAAAAATTGATGGTAAGACACTATGGGACAGAGCTAGAAGTACAGATATACGACATAGATGCAAGGTGGAGAATATCAAAAACTGGGTAAGAAATAGAAGAGTAGAATGGAACGATTATATAAGCCGAATGACAACAAATAAAGTAGTAAAGACGGCAAGAGACAGTTCCCCAATAAGAAGACGATCAGTAGGAAGACCACGAAAACGATGGAATGACTACTCACTGGAGGCACATTGAAAAACAGACGGAGTTATGTCTATATAAAAAGAAGAAGAAGAAATTGTAAAATTTTCTTTCAATTTTTTCCATTTATGGCGTTTTTTAATTTAACTTTTTCGTTCTGTTGTTTGCAAAATTAATGGTTTGAGTGATATATTCTCTGACAGTTTGAGATGTGATGGTAACTGGTTGGAATATCACAAGAAAAACTAGCTCTGAACCAAATTAAAGTAGCCGAACTTTACGTGGAAAATTATTTCGATCTGTAAACATTACCAATTATTTCGCTTATTTCTGTTGCTGTAGTTTTCTATTTATTAGCATTATGTGAGCATTACTATTTTCTATTAAACATTCCTAGACGCATTTATTCAATGCGAAAATGGGTGTACTTTCAATATTCACACCGTGTTTAGACCACATCACATAAAAATTAAGTTCAATTAGAAACCAGATCATTTTCTGGAGATAATCCCTTCTCAAAATGAATCGTGATTTATTTATGTTTGGTCAAGTCTAAAGTCTAAAGGATTAGGACTAAAACCGAAGTACCTCCGGTATGAAGGTAAATGAGGAACGTTAAACAGTCTTTAGAAATCATATCTTTGAACCTATCGACAGCTTCGCATACCTTGGCTCGCTATAAAATAAGCCAATAAATTAAAAAACGAATAAATCTTACAAATAGGGCATACTATGGACTCGAAAATAATTCCGCTCAAGGAATATCTAAAGAAAAACTAAAATTATTATGTTCAAAACACTGCTGAGGCCAGTCTTCACACATAGGGCGGAAACATGGAGTCTAACGCAGAAGGATGAAATACTTCGGGGAATATTCGAGCGTAAAATACTTCGCAAAATATCTGGAGCTATAAACGATTAAGAACAGTGGCGCAAAAAATATAATTTCGAATTATATCAACTCTTTAATGAACCAGATGCCGTAACGCTCATTAAAACACAGCAACTTAGATGGGCTGGACACATAATACGAATACTGGACAATACGATTGCTAAAAGGCTAGGAACACCTATAGGAAAAGAAGCAGAGGCCGACCGCGAATTAAGTGGTTAGATGGAGTTGAGACCGACTTAGGGACACTAGAGATCATAAGATGGCAACACGTTGCCAGAAATGAAACAGAATGGCGACTAATCTTATAGCAGGCCAGGATTCCACAGAGCATTGTCGAACCAAAGACGATGATGATAAGTCTTGACTGCAGCACTGATGGTAGATAAGAGTAGAACAAATAAATACCATTAGAAGTTAAATATCAAATCCATGAAATAAAAACTAATAAAACGAAAATCATTAGCAATAGTGACACCAACCTTTGATCTAGTGTAATGGATCCCGGTAGAGCAGCGCATGAAATAGTGAGTCAATATATACCTCATTTAATTTATATATTTACATTGTTTTTCTGTACATGACATCAAAATACCCTCTTTTAATTACAGATATTTAAGCAACATGGCGGACAAAACTTAGCAACCCCATTATTGATGCCGAAAAGTAAGTTTTACGAAAATCTGGATTCTTGTGTCAAGCTCATGACCCATTTTGGAGGTATCGTATCCTTACCTCATGATCTCAGGTAATATATTAGATATTTTTATTTATTTAAGAATAAATATAAGATTTTGATAATTAATTAAAAAAAAATTGAACACAAAAACAGTATATGAGACGTGTTTACAAAACAAAGTCACTTGACAAGTGTGCCAAGAAGTGTGGCACACTCGTAGAATTATCTTTTAATGAATTACAAAACCAACATGGCCGATTCTAACATTACATTATTAAAAATATAAACAAATTATAAAAAAAATATTTAGCAGCGGTGATAGAGTTTTTTATTCAATGGCTTAATACCAACTGCAATCGCAAGTTGGCAAAGCAGAGTTGGATTTTAAAAAAATTCATCTTTAGTTTTAGATATTATGTTGTAAATCCAGTCCGGCGGGTCAGAGTATGATGATAGTGCATAATTATTTAGATTTTAATAAAATATTTGAGACTTCAATTGTATGTAGTTTAGTATTAAATAATATTAATTCTGGTCAAGTTTTTGTATTAAAAAACAATCAATAATTTATGTTGCACATACATTTATACAGTTTGTGTTACTTCGAATGTAGAGTGGATGAGTTTTAATAGTATACTCCTGCAATATTTTAATCGGTGAGAAGAGAAGGCGGATATGTCCAGAAATAGACATTTTGACAGAAATCCGTTACAAGTATGAAGACGCGCCGTTTTCTTTAGAAACCGGACATATCCTCATACTAATAATGCTTTTATGTGTATTAGAAATTATGCTATTGTGGAAAAACCGGATAATTCCTAGACATGTCCACTTTTTCTACAAAAGTTACAACGCATGTCTATTTGTCCCAATATACATTTGTCATTCGTCACTATGGAAGGTGTACAAGATGATAATCTCGAATTAAAAATTTAAAAAAGGCGAAATCCAGAGTGTTGGAAGGATGTTATCAGTAAAAAAGCAAAACAATCTGGACAACATTATAATGTTTATAAAAGTCGTACTATTCCAAGCAAAAAAATTGGAGAACCATGCAGGTAACCTTATAACCTCAAATTTTGTTAAATATTTAATTTTTGTTAGACTTATTACATCGTAGATGTAAGAAGAAATGCTTAAGACGCTTATCTTCAGTCCCTTATTGAAATACTGACAATTGTCCGACGGTGTCCTGGACAAAACACTGAAGATAACAGGAGAAAACCACATGAACACTCATTTTCGTACAGAGTGACAAGTATGCTGCATGCTATAACGAAACACAGAGTAGGTCGGTTGATAGAGCTTTTAGAAAAAGGACAAGTACCTGTTGACATTAGAGATAAACAAAAACTAGCTAATGCAAAACCTAAAGAAATAGTGAATAGTATAAAAGCCCATATTGAGTAATTTCCTGTCAAACTAGCACACTACACTGGATGCGAAGTGAAATATTTGAACGAAAAACTAAATATAAAAATAATGCATTCGTTATGTTCGGAAAAATTTTAAGATGTCCCAGTTAAATATTGATTTTATAGAGCTGTCTTCACCGACTTCTATCAGTTACGCTTAATTGCGAAGAACTAGATTTAAAATAAGGTCCCAATATTTTAATGATATTGCTAAGGGGGTAGCAATAGTTGAAACGATGGTGCATATACGTCGATTAAATTATTTTTTGCTAAAATGAATTAGTTAGACGCCCTTAAAAAAAGTGAATCCATCGGTAGAAGGAATATGCATTGACTATATGCAAAATCTATTTCTCTTTTATTTTACCTAATTCAACTTCTAGTCAGTGTGTTTAACATACACGATCTTAAAACGGTAAAAGCTACTTCTACGTATATCACGAATGATTAGACAAAAAGGCCCTAACGAGGTGTGTTCCTTCATATTATATTAAAACATATATTTGAGGAAGTGAAACACTTTCACATTTTCTCTGACGGAGCTGGAGGTCAAAACAAAAACCACACCGTTTTAAGGTTTGCCAGAGCCTTAACATACCTCAGAAGATTTGAAACGATGAACCAGTACTAAGTAACCTATTCGTGGTCACTCGTTCATGGCTTGTAGCGTAACTTTGCTGTAGCAAAGAGAATAATAAAAAATGCCGATAGGATTTACACATTAAAAGAGTATGTAGAACTCGTTATAAGTGCTAGTACTAAAAGAAGTTTCACTGTCCATCTGATCGAGAATGATAATAGTATTATCAAAGATTATAAGTCCAAGTGGACTAGATATTACAAAAGAAATGTTTTATCGCACGGATCACTAGGTAGGCATATTCCCAAAGGATAAAAAGTTTCTTTTTCTATCAGCAAGTTCATGCACTTTTCTTGTAACTCTCAAGCAAAAGGTTTGTTCTCTCAAATTGTTGCTCATGAATTTATTGATGGAATGGTTCACCATACACTTGATGTTTCTACAAGCTCTAAAGTAGAGTCACTATCTGTTAACTTGACATCCCCAACTCAGAGTTCCGATTAAGAAAAAGAACATCAATTGAAATTTGCACCCTACTTGGATGAGAACATTCATGGTTGCAAGATATTTTATGATTCCTTATTTACATGGCACCTGCAGAAGGTGAAGATGAATCCGAAGAACTTTGATTTATTCCTTTTTATCTTGGTATTTTGTATTGTATTGTTTATATCATAAATAATCCTAAAATAACAATGTTGTCTAAAAACCGGATATGTCCAATAAATAAATATTTGTTTTCTGTCCTCTGATAGTTGCCTTCATTAAATTTTGTATCAATATTTATCAGTGATGGATTGCTCTATACAGTGCTAATTAAAATTGTGTTCAAACACTGGATAGTTTTCTATAGAGGAAGATTTTTCTCATTTAACGCTAACTTGATTTTTGTGACATGTATGCTTTCTCTTCACACTGATTCAATTAATGCTCAGATTGCATTATAATCTGAAAATTCGATTTAGTATTTATGATATTGGCGAACAATTTTCCTCTGTAGAAAATATTTTCTGCTGTTTGCTCTGCATTTTCGCAGAATCTACATGTTGCTCGGTCTACTTGTCTCATTTGCAGACATTATATCTGAGTGATATGATGTCCAGAGGGGCTACCTGTGATTATTTTACATTCAGTTCATAAAAGCTCTATGGTATGTTTGCGAAAGAAGCAGAAGGTTGTAATTGCTTGGCTTCTGGTCCGATAAAGGAGTATTAGCTCCATTTTTAGCAGGAATAATCAGCACACGCGTTACCCTTAATTTCTTTATGCTCTGGAACCCATAAAAACAAACTTAATAGAGAACAATTTGAATTAGTCATTATTTGAATAGTTGGGAAGTTATAATCAAAAATCAGTCAGGAAATCGGACATAGAATTAAGTTGATTCCTTCAACCTTCATTAAAATTAAATCCCTCTTATACCATGATAACTTTAATCTGAATCTACGACAGATAATGGTAAAATGTTACATATTTGGTCAACGATCTTGTCCGATTCTGAAATTTGGATTGTAAAAGTAACCACTATAAATCGGCTAGAGACTCTAGAGCTGTTTATTCACAGGAACGCTACGGATACCATGGATGCAAAATTAATCAAATAATGAAGCTCTACACAGGCTTAAAACTTTTCGGAAACTCTTAACAACGATAAAATGTTGAGAAAGTTGTCTTAAAAAAAGAACTATTTAGATCACATTCTTCGAGGTAATTAGTATCGTATCTTACAACAAATTATTAATATAGGACAAGATAGAAGGATTGTAGCGGAATTAGTAGAAAACATCCATCATTGGCGACTGGACTGGTATCCGCAGTGTCGACCAAATTTATACGTCCATGCGACCAACTCATTAAACTTGGGTGGTATCGAGAATAAATTACCGGAATGATTGTTAACTTATCAACCAGTCAAGACAGATTAAGTAGTAGTCGTTATTTTGTTGGTATTTTTAATTTGAAGAATATTTCGAATTGTTTACTTAAATTTACAATCTAATTACTATGCTGAATCAATAAATACATAATTATATATTTTAGGGTTCCTTTTGCTCGATATATAGCTTGGAATGGTATCACAAATTTTCGGCGATACTCCATAGAGCGAGTTTATCGAGAAAAGAAAGTATTTGGCTTTCAACCTCGTGAACTTTACGAATGCGCCTTCGATATAGTCACCTCGTCTCCAGGTAAGTTACATATTATTCGTAATTAGACAACATGTATCATTCTCTTTGATTGGCGAAACTTATACGCCTTTATCGAGTGAATCAAATTAACGGGTTAAATTTGATTCACTCAACGTAATCGTATCACGAAGTTATGTCAAAAGCACTCGTTTAGTTTGCTAGCTTATTTTAATATTCACTCACAACACAGGTACACATTTTTAAAATCAATGTGACAAATTTGGACTTGTGTTCTTCAGCCAGTTTTTTTAGTAGATGCAGTTTTATGCACTTGAAAAAAAGCCAGGCCTATCAGGAAGCGTGAAACAATACTGTTCAGTCCACTCAGTCAAAAACTTCCTATTTTCACCCCGATAGACCTTTTATTTTGCCCTATGAAATCAATCTTCTCATAGCAATAGTACATTCTGCTGAGGCTGATTACTCGGCTGAAGTTTCGCTTATAGGACCCTGAATGTGGTCATTAAGACCAGTTTAGGGCAGAGACAGAGTAAGCGATCGGGATCATCTCTCTGATGGTTTCCCATTATTTTCATTTGTAAGCGTGGAAGAGTTACTTATTTTTGAATCTTCGTCTTCTGGGACGCCTCTTTTTGTTTTAGGGTCCATTTTATTCCCACTAATAGGGACGACATGTGTTCAGCCACGGCAGTTCGTCCATACTGTGCCAATGCTATAATTCCCTTAGTTCGTCAGATTAGGCAACACTTTTACCCCTGTGCTTTGAATCCCATGGACACGACAGTGTTACACCTCAAGATCGGTGTAGGTCCGCGTGTGTTTTTTGTATATCATATTCAAATATACAGTTAATGAGATAATTGTAGCTTCTGTAGTGTTCTCAATTGATCCGCAGATGTTTAGGCGTTTGACACCTGCCATACTGTTGTATATAATATATATATATATATATATATATATATATATATATATATTATATTATATATATATATATATATATAACAACACAGTTTATTAGGGTTGCAGTCAGAATATTGGCCGGGATGTTAAAAAAACACTCTTTTGACTTTTTGTCGAGCTTTCGGAATGGTTTTATTCCTTTTTCAAGACACTGTAAAGGACAATTATGTAAATATTTAAAAAATATCACAATTCTTCAGTGTAACTTACTAGTTGTTGAGATTATTTTTGTAAGCATTGACACTTAACATTTATACCACACATTAAAATATACAATTATGGACATAATACATCATAAAATTTTTAGCATGCGTTTACATTTTATAGTCTCTCATGAGAAAATAGATCACTTGAGAAAGGCAATCAGCCGAAACAGCTGTAGTGATAAGTTAAAATAAATTTTGTGGAAGTTTGAAAACAAAGTTTTCAGTGTTTTATTGTTACATAAAATGAATTTCCATCAAGTTATGGTCGAATCCATCAATTATAGTTGAAAATAGTTAGTATTAAAAAATTTATTGAGGCAATTAGGCGTTGCCAGAATTCTGTTTTATGTATTTAAGATTAAAACTAAACTAAAAACTAAGCTAGTGTTATAATTTCATTCATTTTATTTGGTAGCACTTTGGTTGTTAATTTTAGTGTTGTGTTTAATAAATTAATTCCTCTGTAATTTTTCCTGGTCCAATTCGACTCCCTTTTTGAAGAGAGATATTAGGAGGCTTGATCTCCATTCTTGAGGAATTCTGTTTTGTTCTATTATTTTTGGATTAGTTTTAATAGTCATTTGGTCAGATCTGGTCCTCCGTACTTTAGGACTTCGTTCGATATTCTCTCCTCTCCTGGCGATTTTCTATTTTTTAATTTCTTTAATGCTTGCTTTACCTCTTCCTCCTCAATATTTATTTCTTCGTTTGTCGTCACCTCTGGTGTTGGTACTATTTTGCGTATCATAATATTTGTTCATCCGTTCTAATCTTGGCACTCTAATATGAATTTCTTATTAGTTTGATATCTGTATCATCTAAGTTAGTGTTCGGTAGAAAATCATAACATTTTAATAAAATGCAGCATGGCTAAAATGAGAAAAATTCAAATTGAAAATAGTATACAGAGTGTTTACTTAAAATAATAAAATAGTATACATATTAAAAACAACGTTTATTGGTTATTGCTTTATTTCAAAATAGGGAGCGATTATGTATTTATAATTTTTCTGTAAAACGTTTTCTGCATCTCTAGGAAAGACGGAAATATAGAAATTTTTATTTATAAAATTCCTTAATAAAAGGTATATTAATACAAAAACCATATCGGTATATTATATTGATATACCTTTTATAAAGGAAATGTTTAAATATTTTTTTTGTGATATATGGTATACAGCCAGCTACAGGAATTTATCCCTGTGGAAATATAGAACATCAGAGTATAAGTTAATTATTTTAAATTCTTATTTATGCTTCACTTTTTTTTACTTATTGCGGATGTTAATTTTTAGGTTTACTAATGGCAGATGCAGAAATTCTCTATATAGTGTACGAAATATTAAACGATTTACCAGGGATTAGAAACAAGAACTTTGTTGTAAGACTTAATCATAATCTACTACTTAAAGCAATTCTGTTACATTCCGGAATTAAAGAAGGCCATCAGGAAATTTACGATATGGTGTGGGATATAAAGGTAATTAAACTGTGATCTCAGAAAAGTAATGGTGATTGTTTTTTAATGCGTAAGAAATTATTAGATTTTGATAGTGACGTGAAGACGTCCATAAAGCATGAAAAAATATCCTAAATTTTCAGTATACATTCAAAATGATATTAAGCTAAAATATAGTTCGTTACCTAAGGTGAAACGTTTCTAAGCGGAAGGATAAGAACTGATTATTTTAATGAATGCTTTCATTAAAAACGATCGGCTACTATATCAGCATATATTAGTAAATTCTGTTAATATTGTCTTGAAAGATTGCCATCAATAAATGTTTTATTGTTAGCGGTTTTGTAGTTTTTCATTAGTTACATGTGTATATATTGGTATATGAATTTAAGAGGCACTTATAAGGCATGAAAATTAAAAAAAATGATAAGAGAAGTGAAGAAATATATAGTTGGTATTATAGTATTGTAAAAAACAAGAATATAGAATTTTTCGAGGAAGATTGAAAGCTCTGTATAGAAGGAAAAAGAGAAACCACAATGAGTTGAAATTAAAAGATATAGAAAAGAAGTTTAAAAACAAAGAAGTGAGGTCGTTCTATCAAGAAGTTAAAAGATGGGAAAAGGTATCAAAGCCACTGTAGTTATATGAAAGGTAAAGACGGAAATTTAATTAGCGATCCGGCAGAACTAATGACGGAATGGAAAAAACATTTTGAATTATTATTAAATGGCGAGGAGGACCACGAAGCAGTAGACAACTGGACAGTTGAAGAAGATGCGATAGTTGAAAGTCAGCCTACAGAGGAGGAGGAGGTGACAGCAATACAAGAAATGAAAAATAACAGAAGTCCTGGTAAAAATAACACATGCATAGAAATGATCAAGTTTGGTGGAGAACAACTACAAAGAAAAATATATCAGCTACTAGTGCAAGTATGGAAAAAGGAAGTAATGCCATCGTAGTGGTATGAGGCACGCATATATGCCCTCTGCATAAAAAAGGAGACAAACTGAAGTGTGACAACTATATAGGTATAGCCTTATTACACACGGTATACAAAATCTTGGCAAGAATATTGAGAAATAAACTAAATTGCTACACGGAAAGAATCCTACATGAGTATCAGGCCGGCTTTATAAAGGAGAAATCTACTGTAGACCAAATCTTCTCATTAAAGGAGATACAAACGACTTGTTATGAAGGTAAAGTTCCCCTGCATGTTTTGTTTGTGGATTTCAGACAAGCATATGAAAGAGTCGATAGAGTCAAAATGTATCGAGCAATGGAACATTTGGGTATACCAAAGAAACTGATCCGGCTAGTTAAAAGGACACTAGTAAAAATGACATTAAATAACTCTAAGTGTGAAATTTCTTGGCAGGGTCACATATCAGATCAATTTACGGTTGCAAAAAGCTTGAGACAGGGGGATCCTTTATCCACTACATTATTCAACTTATTGTTAGAAACTGTAATCAGAAAATGCAGCATGAAGGTGGAAGAAACGATCATGAAAAATGAGCACCAGTGTTTGGCATTTGCTGACGATCTAACAATCCTAGCAAAAACCGAGAAATAATTAAAAAGAGTTGTGAATAAAATCATCGAAGAAGCACATAAATTCGAATAGGAACTAAATGAAGACAAAACCAAAAATTATGATCATGGGAGGGACAGAAGTGAAAAAAGAAGACTATAGTGTGAGGTCAGTAAGTGGTAACAGCTATAGTTTTAAAAGGGTGGACAAATTTGAATACCTGGGTGTAGTTTTCGATGAAAATGGAAAAGAAAAATGGGAGCTCGAAGCCAGAATAGCAAAAAGGAATAAAAAAATTAGATAGTTTAAGAGCCCTACTGAACTCAAAATACGTTTCTAGACAAGGTAAACTCGGAATATATAAAACAGTAATTCGACCCACAGTAACATATGCCGGTGAGACATGGACATTAAATAAGAAGGAAGAGGATACCCTGGAAAGATGGGAAAGGAAAATATTGAGACGCATATTCGGAGGACGGAAGACAGAAGATGGTTGGGAGAGAAGAACCAACAATGAATGAATGGCTTTATACAAAGAACCTACCATTACCAAGTTCGTCAAGGCACAAACAATCAGATGGTTGGGACATGTGGAAAGAATGGCAGCAAACAGAATGCCTAAACTAGTAATAACCAGAAAATTAATCGACCCCAAAAGAAGAGGTAGACCCAGAACGAGGTGGATTAATAAAGCGGAGGAAGATCTTAAACACGTGAAGGTGAGGGACTGGAAAATAAAAGCACAAAATAGAAGTGAATGGAAAAAATATTGTACACCAGGTCCTCCAGAGTAGTTAAAAATGTTATATATACATATTTAAGTTAAATTTTTGTTTAAAATAAATGTATTTAGTTAATATTAGGATTATGTTTTTAAAAAATGCCCTAGGCCTTAACGGCCTGTTGTGCATAAAAATAAATAAATAAATTATAGTATAATACGAGACAAAACAAAAGAGATAAATAGTGAAGATAGAAGATATGGTCTTTTTCAAAATAAAACTGGAGGAAATCATAGATGTCAGGAATAGGCTCTCAAGAACCGTGAGGGGGAGTGCAACTCAGATCACTACTTACTAAAAGTATTATTTCGAACGACTGCATACAAAAATAAAAATGACAAAACAGACCTACGATAGAATAACTGGACAGCAACTGTATTAAGTGATGAAAAAAAATGGGATTACTAAGTAAAATTAAGAGACTCATAAAACTGACTATGGAGATAATGTAACACTAATAGCGACAAGTAAAAAAGAATTGACACAAATAGTGAAGAATATAATAAAAGAAGCAAAAATCATTCGGGCAAAACTTCTTTTTTAGAGGTATGATTAAAACTTGGACTTATTTATTTCACTATTACCACCACCACCGACACTATACATTGTACTACATGATATTTCCTACCAATGAAGCACTGTTTGGAGGATAGCGGGAGGAGTGATGGGGGGACTGGATCGTTATATGTTAATCTTTCTGGAAATTTTGGAAATCTGGATTCTTGAAATCAGATCATCTAATCATTATGTAACGTGAATTAGATATTAGGATCAATCTTCCTTGGCATGGGACCAAATTACGAATGTATGGTCAACAAATGGAACCCAACATATATTATGTTTTTTTCATAATCGAACTGTTATAATTAGAACAACTAAATTTACACCATTTGAAACCTGTGGTTCTCTGGAATGTATTAGCCAAACTTTATATTTTCCCATTTAATTGATAGTTGAAAATATTTTGTAAATCATACATTTTTGTTTTAGGAAGGAAAAATTCCAAAATATCAGTTACAAAATCATTTTGTGACACTTGGACTTTCAGATAATACTATAAATTCATTAACGAATTTCTTCAATACTGATTGTGAAATATCGAAAGCAGCAAATCATTTTCAGTCGATTACAAAGAAAAGATCTGGTGAAGCTAGCCAACTTGCGAGGCAAGCTTTACAGGAATTAAAAGTCATTAGTCAGAATGCAGAAATATATGGTGTAAAGGTAAGGCGTTGAAATTAATTACGCATAGTAATAAAGAAATAAAATGAAGTAATAGCCGTACAAAACATGTATATTTTGGATGTATTATACAGTGTGTTCCAAAAGTAACGCATAAAGTTGGCGCATGATTGCTGGAGCTGGAATAAGGTTAAAACTTAAAAATTCTAAGTAAATGTATAATAAATAAGTAAAAATATATAAAAATATGGACCCATGATCCAATCTTTTCAAAAATCTCAGCCAAAATTAACTTTTTGTGGCACTTATATAATGATCTTTTTTAAACAGATCTGTATTTTCCGGACTCCAAAAGCGTGTAATTTTTTTTATTAACAGTCCCATTTAAATAAAATGTTGCTTCATCAGAAAACATGGTACAGTTTTATTACGTTGGGATCGCTTCCGAGCAAAATTGCAATCATTTTACAAAACTCCAGTCTTCTGACGGTATCATGTCCCACAGTTCTTGCATGATATTGACTTTTAAGGGATTTTTAAAGTTCGATAAACTACAGATTTTGACAATACAAAATTGTTCTCTAAAAAGCGAAGCGAGGCACGAGGATTTTGAACTACACTCAACATAACATTCTGACGATCATTTTCGATCATCGTCCTTGGCAAGTGGGCTTATCTAGACAAACTCCCTCGCTCTTACGTATATCAACTTTCTACTTACAGTTGTTTCTTGTTCTTCTTCTTCACTTTTGTCTTATATACCAGTGAATTTTCCAGCACATGTCTTAGTATTGCATTCGGTCTTGCTCATGGCAATATACAATACTGTTTGTAAGATTTTAATGAATTTAATATATGTAATCGTGTTGGTGACAATGTTAGTAAAAACAGATAGCAGAACAAATGAGTTTACTTTTCTCTCTCCGGGGTTACGGTTGAGCATTACACAAACTGAAATTATCTCGGGCTATAACAATCCAATAATATTTATATGTTGATCATATTAATGCTTAAACATTTATTTAAAACTTTTGTTTGTTTTTGGTTAATATTTTATAATATAACTTAAATGTTAAAAGTATCAGCCGCTCCTACAGTCAGCGCATTACCGAAAAAAAATGTGATATAATAGATCTTCTTCCTGTCCGCACTCGTAGTATGAATGTGGTTTAATGTCGATTGGATGTAAATGAGTTATAAATGTACCATGTCCTGTTAGCATTCTTATTATATTCGTTAAGTGCCTTCTGTCAATATATGGAAACTTTTTAAACAATAGTGTATCTGGGAATGATTGTTGTACTTCGCCATACAATTTACCCTTCAATTTAATGCATTTTATCCAAAAATTGTTATGATTTTCTTTGATACTTACTTTCAATTTTGTCAGTATGTCATTATAACTTACCTATTAACAGGGACTTTGAGAGTACATCAAATTTTTGTTAGTTTGTCAACATATTTATTTTCCTTAATGCCACTTTGTCCTGGGATCCAAGTTAGTTTGAATGTCTTTCCGTTTTTGTTTTGCTTCCAGTATTATTCTTCTGGTTAATAACGTGACATGGTACGTTTTTGCACTTAATCCAATTTGTGTCAATCTATCTATTGCACTAATAGAATCATCAAAGAGATATATTTTGAAATATTTTTTCTAGGCACACACTACCCCCTTTGTTTATTACACGAATTTTTGCAGTACATATGTTTAGTTTAGATGGTGGTTTTGAAGAATAGGAATAGTTTAAGGATAGATACAGTTTAACGAGAGATCAGATCATACCCAGGTATTTGACGTCTTTTTTGTATGGTATGCGTGGTTGATTTATGTTTATTGGTGTTATATTTGATAAAATTCTCCCATTTATTCTACATTTACTATAAAAGGTCCTATGGCATTATCTTGGTATAATAAGTTTTCAATTTCATTGCCCTCATTTTTTAACTCTTTATTTTTTGTTTGGTTTTTTCCGTCTACAATTGGTTGTTTATCTATTTTTTGCTCATAATTCATATCGATATCTACAATAAGAGATGCATTAACTTTCTGAATGTCAGAAGGTTTTACTTCCCTACCATTTGAATCTTTATTCATTAAAATAATTTTTATACAATACTAATCCTAGCAGGTGTGCAGCACGTGCACCGCACGCGAGTGGTCAAAACAGTGGGCAGCCACAGGTTGCTTCTAATTTGATCAATCCACCAACGAATGAATATGCTGGATTTTAAGTAGTTATTGAAAAAGCAAAATAGCCTAAATTCCATTTTTTTGATAGCATACTTTAAGAAAGTTCTTTGTTTTTCTGATTTTCGCATTCTTTGTACTGCCTTAATAAGCACGAAAATATTCTAAAATACGTAAATCGTATTAGGTCGTGGTGCGAGTTTAAGATGAGGTTAGAAAAAATGGTACTGTTGACGCGAAACAATAAAATGTTTACAATCGAGAGGAAATACCATGGCACTTCAGCATTGAAAGACTGATTACTGTGATACAACTTTTAACAGGTCAAAATTTTACGTTTAGGGGCACCAGTATGAAATATTGGTAATTTTTTTAAGGCAGTGGAGATATTTTCAGACTTCATTCCACTAATATACTTAATTAAATAAACCGTAGCGTTATAATAGTAAATACCATTTTACTTATTAACTTTAAATGAACGTTCCAAATATTCCATATATTGTACTTTAATTACTCCATTATCTGCTCATATTATCTTGCTTTAATATCCAAAATTATTATAAGCATACACAAATAAACTTTTTGAAGTTTCTCTGTTTCCCGATCTATAATAATACATATATTTTAGTACGACATGGTCATTTCTCCAAGTCTTGTATACAATGTTCAGCAGTATTCCGGTATGATTTTCCAATTCGCATGTGAGTTTAGAAAGAAACACAAGCACAATACGATGGAAGTACTGGCTGCAGGTGGAAGGTACGATTCTATGATTTCTTCGTATCGTACCATTATGGAACAAGCCAGTATAACCAGTAAACATGTTCAACAATCTGCTGTAGGCGTTTCAATATCACTAGATAGATTGGTACAAGCTCTTCAGAAAGAACCAACTGAAGAATTGCCAAAAATGGAAAGTCTAGACGTTGTTGTTTGCTCTTCTGGTGCTAAGCAAATGATTCAAGAGAAAACTAAGGTAAGCATGTATTTAATTTATAGCTATGTTCTTAATTTCAAATTATACGCTTAAAGCCAGATGTATAACAGCTGAAAAATAAATAAAATTGGTATGATAAGGTTGTTATGATCAAAATACGGCTACTTTTTAAAGAGAAACAAAGCAGTTATTTTACGGAACATGCGTATTTGAATATCGCATAGAATTATCAATTTAAAAAATATATTGGAATTTGTCACACGATTCCTTCTACTTTTGAAATTTGTTATATTGTATAAATTACTTACCTACTAAATATTTGTATATTTTAAAAAATATGCTGTAGTCAAACTATATTTATATAAATAAATTACTTATTACCATTATATTTAATCAATGTGTTGTTAAAAATTATTGTGATTGTATTTTTAAACATTCAAATAAGTGAAGATAGATTTGCTGTTTCTTATCAGTCCAAAAAGTTAAATCAATTTATTAAATAAAGTCTGGGTAAAAATTATATTTAAACTTAAGAGATCGTTAAGCAAAGTTTTATATGGATCCTCCAATCTAAAATTGATGAAACCTATGCAAATCATACAACCTGTCAGTCAGCACGGAATGGTAAAGTCAGGTCAACCTATATTGCAGTATAATGGCATAGACACCAATAACGCTAATGAGACTCATTACTTGCCTCAGAGTTCTGTGTATCAACATCAACCTCAAATAATGCAGGTCACAAAGTCATAATAGCAATACGCAGGATCTTCTCATCAAGATTGGACAAAAGTATCAAATAAAAAGTAACGAAGAAGTCCTGAAACTAACACCACTAGAAACAAACAAAAATATCGACTATTGTTTGCAGAAACCGAAAGAACTACAAAATAAGTTCGGCGGTCTATCTGAACAAGAAGATACAAACTCTAAAAATGGCGAAACTAGGAAGCATACAAAATGTTCCTAAACCATCTATAAGCATTTACAAAGTTAGAGTGATAGAGCCTACCAAAATACTTAAGAAAGCTAAATATACGATAAAAACCACTGGATTTGAGACAATAAAAGTCCAAGTTAAAGAAGACACACTCTTCTGCACATTTATAAAAGAATTAGACACCATAAAAACAGAATACAACACATTTAGACCAAAAAGTGAAAAATCTTTTGGAATTTGTATTAAAAGCATTACATCTGGAGTCAGACACTGATGTACTGACAGCAAATATGTTCAAACCTGGCCATAAAGTAGTAAATCACTATAACATAAAACACCGAACTACCAAAAAACTACTGCCGATGTTCTTCTTCTTCACGTCCATATCAGAATTATCCGACGTTGGCGATCACCATTGCTAAGGCTTTTCGATTTTCTGCCACATGGAATAATTGTCCTGCATTTGATACCGGGGTCCATTCACGAATGTTTTTCTACCAACAAACCTGTTTTCTTCAGACACCTCTACGCCTACACCTTCTATTTTGCGCCTGAGGATCAGTTGTAGTATTCTGTATCAATTCCCCCCCCCCCCCTTATGTCCTAGATAAGATATTTTCCAGTGTTTAACAGTCTTTAACAATTCTGTATCTTTGTTGACCCTCCTTAGTACTTTCTGATTAGTTTTTCTTGCTGTCCAAGGTATCCTTAGCATCCTTCTATATCCTTGTAGAATCCACATTTCTAATGTTTCAATTCTGTTCATGTTTGATACTTATAGTGTCCACACTTCTGCTCAATACAAAGTACAGATCAAATATAGCACTTAACCATTCTTTGTCTTAGTTCTAAACTGAGATAATGATTGCAAAGAAATGTCTTCATTTTCATAAAAGTAGTTTTAGTCATTGCTATTCTGCATTTTATTTCTATGTCTGGATCTGGTTGGTCTGTTATAACAGTTCCTTCTTCTTCTTTTTATATAGACATGACTCATATTTGGTTTTCAATGTGCCTCCACTAAGTTTTTAAGTCGTTCCATCGTTTTCGTGGTTTTCCTACTGATCGTCTTCCTATTGGGGTACCGTCTCTTGCCGTATTTACTACTCTATTTGTTGTTATTCGGCTTATATGATAGTTCTATTCTACTCTTCTATTTCTTACCCAGTTCTTGATGTTCTCCACTTTGCATTAACGTCGTATATCTGTACTTCTAGCTCTGTCCCATAGTGTAATACCATCAATTTTTTATGTTTTCATCTCTGCTGTTTCTAACAACCTTTTTGTCCTCTATATGTCAGGTCTTGTTTCTGCCGCGTATTTCATTATTGGTCTGATGACTGTTTTGTAATTTCTGCCTTTCGTTTCTTTCTCGATATTTTTATTTCTCCATATTGATTCATTCGGGCAGCCTGTGGCTCTGTTTGTTCCATTCACTTGATCTTCCACTTCAGTTTCGATCTTTCCGTAACTAGATAATGTGATGCCTAGATATTTAAACTTGTTCTATTATCAGACCTTCCAGCTCCAATTTATATGTTAGTAAATTTGCTGTTGTAACCATGCATTTTGTCTTTTTTGGGGAAATTAACAGGTTAAATTTTCTGGCAGTTATATGAAATTGGTGCAGCATACGTTGTAAATCATCTTCACTTTGAGAGAGTAGTATTGCGTCGTCTGCATATCAGATTATTTTACGTTGTTTTCCTCTCATTTAGTATCCTTTTTTAATCCTTACTTTTTTTATTATTTCATACATAATCAGGTTGAACAATAGAGGACTCATCTCAGAGGTCTTATCCCATTGCCAGTTTCAATAGGATCGGTTAGTTCTTCTTTACTGTATTGTTTTGGCTTCCACTGTATTGTATTTTCGATCGTTTTGATTACTCCTAGAGGTATCTCTCTTGCGTACAGTAAGTGGATAACGTCTTTTAATTTAACCCAGTCAAATTCCTTCTTAAAGTCCACGAAACATAGATATGCCGGTTTCTTGTATTCTAAAGATTTGTCTTGCACTTGCCTGATTATATATATAGTGTCGTGCATGATCTTCCCGACCTAAAACCTTGTTGTTCAGTTGCTAGTGTTATAATTTTATTCAGTTTATTTGTTATCACTTTGGTTTTTAATTTTAGTGTTGTGTTTAAATAAATTAATTCCTCTGTAATTTTCTGGGCCACCGCCATTTCTTTCCTTTTTCTTTTAGCAAACCGAATAGCTTGTAAGATGAGAAAAAGTCATAAAAAAATATGCGATGATTAGATTTTCGTTCAATCACTGACAACAAATCCAGCACAACGTTTTCTCCTAGACCCAACTCGTTTTTCATAAGCACTTGTTTGTCCACCATAAGGTAAAAATTTAAATAAATAGCCATTTAAACTACATAGACACCATAGTTTCAACCCAAACCTAATTGGTTTTCCTTTTATATACATCTTACAACTATGTCTTCCAAAATATAGAACCAGTTCCTCATCTATGAATAGATTATGAGAAAATACTTCAAACTACATGTTCTTTTCAATTTATCCAATCACATTAGAATTATTGTACGAACAAAAATGCAAAATCCAAATTTTATTATATAAATCCGTTAGTGTGTCAACTTAGCGGCGCCTATTACAGGAAATCCCAACGTCTCTTAAACTCAACATTATTGAAATCGATTAGGTATGCAAAAACCAAAAAAGATTTTTGAAATACGACACACTATTTTTTCTACTGATATCTACTTATCCATATAAATTGATAATTTCAGAAATATAATTTTATATGTTTAGTACGGAAATTTTTTTTTTTTTTTTAACCTATTCTCTATCCTTCCATTGTTGGATATAGGTCTTCCCCAGTTCTCTCCATCTTTCCCTATCTTGAGCTGTTCTCTCTGCCATGTGGGACCTCCTTGTTTCCTGATGTCATCTTTCCACCTCATCTGTGGTCTGCCTCTTGATCTCTTTGCATTGTATGGACGCCATCCTCCGATGGCATTGTTCCATCGTCCGTCTTGGAGACGTTCATTGTGTCCAGCCCATTTCCATTTCAGTTTTGCTGCTTGTTCTATCGCGTCTATTGTCTTTGTTCTGGTTCTGATCCACTGGTTACGTTTTCTATCTCTAAGTGATACACCCAACATTTGTCTCTCCATCGCTCTTTGTGCCTTCCTTATCCTATCCAAATTGGCCTGTGTAAATGTCCATGTCTGTGCTCCGTAGGTGAGCACCGGTATGATACAGGAGTTATATACCTTGCTTCGTAAGTACAGAGGGATTGTTTGATTTTTTAGAACGTAAAAAACATCGGAAATTACATCGACAAAAAATATGAAAAAAGAATTTTCATGTAACAATAAAACACTGAAAACTTTGTCTTCAAACTTCCACAAAATTTATTTTAAACTCTTATCACTACAGCTGTTTCGGCTGATTGCCTTTCTTAAGTGATCTATTATTGGCATGTGTTTACACTTTATAGTCTCTAATGAAATAGGTTGAGGAGGGGAGAACGGTTTGTTTCAAGTTGGTCATTCAGAATTATATCTGTGTTTTTTAGTTTGTTGATTTCTATAGTTTCTAACAAGGATAGCTTAAGGCCTTTATTTTAAATGTGAAGAATTTTAAATTCGTCATTAAAATAATTATTGTGATCTAGAAGGTGAAGTGCGTATGTAGAATCTGTTTTTCTATTATTGAAAGCCCTTTTATGTTCTGCTATTCGTTTATTAAAGTTTCTACCAGTTTGACCGATGTAAGTTTTTGGGCAGTCACCACATTTAAGTTTGTACACACCACTGTGTAAGTGTTTTTTGGTTTGGCTCTTGTTGTTTTTAATATATTTATTTTTATTTAGCTTTACGCACAACAGGCCGTTAAGGCCTAGGGCATTTTTTTAAAACATAATCCTAATATTAACTAAATACAATTATTTTAAACAAAACTTTAACTTAAATATGTATATACAACATTCTTAACTTCTCTGAAGGACCTTTTCTTTTCCAGTCTCTCACCTGCACGTGTTTAAGGTCTTCCTCCACTTTACTAATCCACCTCGTTCTGGGTCTACCTCTTCTTTTGGGGCCGATTAGTTTTCTGGTTAT